TTAGGAAGTTTGTAGAAAAGGAAGATTTTATCGGTACAAAGATATTATTTTGCATGGATCTTTATATGAAAGAAGGGAAGACGATATGAACGTGGACAACGACGTGGATCAAAATTTGTTACACCAGTTTAGCTGTTTGGGTACTACAGATAAAGATGATTTAGTTAAACAGCTACAAAGATTGCTTGCTGGTAGTCAATTAAATGAGGCCACTGCTGCCTTTTTCTTGGATATGAATAATTGGTAATGTCGTTTAATATGTAGCTTTATCTTTAATCAAATTTAATGTTATATCGACATAACCTTTTAACATAATGTTTACAATGTCAATGATATTGTTTTCTTTTTCATTTAGTTACAACTATCTTTTTCATTTATCTATATAAATATATTTGAACTTGATGGTTTAAAGGACTTGTAATTGTATATTTGTTTTTGGTTGCTTGTATTGAACGTTTGGGTACCATTTAAAACAATTCAAATGATTTTCAGTTAAAATTGCAATATATATTAATATAGTTCTTCTATAATTATATTAATATAATTCTTCTTTTCTATATAGGAATCTACAAGCAGCGATATGTAGCTACTTTGATTTCGAATCACCTTTTAAGTTTCCTTGCATGACTCTGGTGTGCGATAGCACTATTGGTGAGGGTGAATCTGTTCCGCCTAATACAAAGTTTCAAAAATCATGGCGAGTTCAAAATAGTGGTACAGAAGCTTGGCCCAATGGCATTTGTTTACAACATACAGCTGGAACACAAATGGGTGATTGTATACGAGTGCCAGTTCCATCCTTAGCTCCTAAAGAAACAATAGAGTTAAGTGTTACTTTGACAAGTCCAGCAAATTTGGGTGTTTACCAAAGCAAATGGAGGATGATGACACCTACCGGTTCTTACTTTGGTGGTAAAAAAGAATATCAAATATTATATCTGATCTTATTGATATATATTTAATATACATATATTTATTATAAAATTCATTTATTGTCTTTCTCTCTCTATTTTTTTAGACAATATCTGGGTGATCATAACTGTTAGTGAATGTGGGACGTTGGCAGTAACGCAACAGTTACATCAATTAAGTACTTCACAGTCTAATGATGTTCAGATGTGGTAGCCTTTGATGGATACAAAATTGTCTATAAACATTTTTGCGACTTATCCTTCAGATTTTCAAAGCGCTCTGCTTTATTCCTAGTTTTCTTTAAATCTTCTTTGTTTTATAACCTGTTTTCATTTATCTATGATACTTTTATTTACTTTTTAACACGACGAATGAATAATTACTATATTATTCGGGTAACTGAAATTTATATGTTAGCCCCAAGCTATAATCGCATTGGCTATTTGAAAATTGTTGGGTCGATATAAGATTTATATTTCTTTTATTTCCTTTTTAATTTTAATTTTTTTATTTTATTTAATTATTTTTTCTTATCAAAAGAGCAAGAATTATAAAAAAAAACAAATGAAAAAAGAGAGGCTTCATATAAAATTTGTATATTAAATTATGAGAGAAGTACACTTGTTAAACGTCGCATTCTGAATGTATGACATGATGTATAAAAATTTAATATATTTTATATCATACATAGAGATTTTAATATTTTATTAATATTTTATAATATATATTGCTATAAAAAAGATAATAAAAAAAAGAAAGAAAAGAAAATTTCCTTACAGTTAAGCTTCTAATTTTGGAAAAAGTTGGTACTACTACTTGTTATATATATACACACACATACATAGTTTTCTTTTAATTTTATTCTTTCAAATAATACTTTACCTTAATGTCATGTCATAAACCAACAATGTTCAAATATAATTTGTTTGAATTTCTAATAATAATAAGCATTTATAATCGGCTATATATTCAGTTTCGGATGATATTCAATTAAGGAGATTTGAAATATCAGTTATCCGTATATATTTAGTAATATATTTTACATTTTAGATTGAGAACAAAAAAGTGTCTTAAAAAAATTTGAATAGTATTGAGGTATGTTCGATAATACATGTGACTTGCACTATATATTATATATTATAATTAAATAAGTGATATGTGTCTTAAAAATGTATTTCTATGAAAATGTAGCTACACATCATCTTTTTCTCTGCCTTTTATAGAAATAATTTTCATTTCTCTTTCTATATATTTATATATATATATAAGGGCATATATTTCTCCATGTATCACTTCATACAGAGATCAATTGAAATATTACATTTCGGTAAATATTATAAGTCACATAATTAGTTTTTAAAGTTGAAAACTGCTTCTAGTAAATTTTTTATATAACAATCCTAAAACATACACAAACATACATATGCTTGTCTGGCCATGCTTAGATTTCTACCATGTAATATGTAGAAAATGTACATGATGGAATTATTATATTGTTTATTTTATAATTGTAATTATTATATTGTAATTAACATCTTTGTTAATTACATATTCAGAGAGAAGACTTGCACATGGATAATATNCTTATCTACCCAGATTCATCTTAGTTACTATCGGGATCACCAGTGGGCGAAAGTAGGTACTTAACGCGATGACGGTAAAATATTATCAAAGAATATACTTTCTAAGGTACAGGTTTATTATAAATATAACTTTTATTAGAAAAAATAAAGTCTAATACTTATTAAAAAAATTACGTGCACAAGATATATTTACTCTGACCAGATTAAAAGTATACATAAAATAATATACTGTTTGTCAACAAAATTCTTTAACAAAACTTATTATTTTTATACTTGTACCTAAAATCTAAAAGAAAAAAAGATACTTAAAAATATTAATGTGTATATATATATACATATATATATATGTATACATATATATATATACATATATAAATTGGATTATACTGCCATTTGCATATTAAGTTTTGGATGTGGCTTATAATTTATTAGTTCAAAATTATTAATTGTAAAGTCATTTGTATCTTTGACATCACCAATGATTTTCAATGTGGGAAATGGCCTCGGTGTGCGTTTTATTTGTTCTTCATGTGCTATGATTAATGTATGCGTGACAATCATCCATCGTATGCACAAATTCACCTAGCTATCATAAATGAAAGAGAAATCATTTATTGTTATTGTATATATATTTTGCAACTATAATGAGATGAAATGTATCTCCAAATTTGTAATATGAGCCACTATGTAAGTTAATAGTGAATATGACGCTATATTGAATAGACCACCAAGACCGATTTCTTTCTTTGATAAAGTTAACACGACAATGTTCCATTGCTTATAAAAAATTGTATCAAACAGCAACAAGGTGGTAAAGCCATTTTTGGGATATCAAGTGGATTCTGTGCAATCATTATTATTCTTCTATCATTCGGTGAGTGTTTTATTTTGTAAATGACTTCCTCCAATTGATTGATATATATATATATATATATATATATATATATAACATACATGTACAGTAAGTACAGCGACATCCTAAGAAATACTTTTACTTTTGTTAGAACGAGAATTCAGATNGATTCTGTGCAATCATTATTATTCTTCTATCATTCGGTGAGTGTTTTATTTTGTAAATGACTTCCTCCAATTGATTGATATATATATATATATATATTCAACATTTAATAAAAGAACTTTTTTAGACAACAATAGACACTTGCAACGATTTATTAACAATTATTTTAATGTACTATTGCACTCTTCTTATATTACAGATAATTCCAGCACATATACATTGGTTTAAACATTACATACCTATTAAATTTTGAATAGAAAATAATTTTGATATGTTATTAATTTTTATGTTTTTTTTAGATGACTGTTTTAAACTTAGTTTTGTTACTGGGCTGAAACATAAACATAAAATGATCCAGTGATTATGGTTTTTTAATCAATCTTTTGTTAGATTTCGACGAGTAAACGTGATGCGTGTTACTGACGGCTAAAATTTAATTACTATTCATTAAAAATCGCGTCTTCAGAAGCAGCGTCCTAATGATACCAAATAAACTGGTAATTAATTAATTATGCAATAATAACTAGCCTTGACAACCGATTACAGGAATCAGTACGAGATTACAGTATTCTTTGATAGTATATATAGTATATTTATATTGTAATAAAATTTTAAATAATTACATTCAATATTTAGTGTATAAAAATGTGTGTGTGCCTTCAGAAATGCATTTATAAATATATTTTAAAAAATATTCATATGGCGTTCAAACAAAAAAGAATCAAAAGAATAATCAAAAAGTCAAATCTAAATAAATTGTAGAGTCTTAAACCGCTTAGATAAATTTTTATAAAAATTTTTTAATGTATTTATGTATGTTAATTATGTTTTTTTAGATCAGGATTCTCAGCTTCTAATACACTAATCTCCCGTTCCTCCCCCCATACTTTCTGCATTCTCATCTATGCAGGTGTTACACGTTGGGTGAGAAACAGTTAGTATGGGTTTAGTTTTAAGTTTTTCCCCTATTGGCGGCTGTTATTGGCTAGTGAATACGTTGGATACTTACTTAATATTAAGTATATTAACGCTTTGCTCTTTAGTAATTCCTACTGAATACTTCATTTGTTATATATGTATAGTAAATACAAAGTAGAGTAAAGATAAAAGATGAAAGTGGTCGAGTAAAAAAGTAAGACCATATGATGTATGACAAAGTTCCTGCTTTTGTTTGATATTATTTAATTTTTTAAATGCAAAGTGTTAATAATAGGTTCATCGATTAGATCAAATATCTGTTGAGGCATTCGAGTAAATGTAACTGTACGATTTGTATTGTAAAATGCGCTTAGGAAAAGCCTCACAGCAGAGTTTAGGGCATGATGAAAGAAGAGGCATTATGCCGAAGAGGCCGCGGAGAGGCCCCATCTTAAATGTGGCTGAAAAGGGCGCGTTTTATTTTAAACGAGTCTTTCTTACTGTAAACTTTTTAAATTCGTCTTGTCGGTAACTCTTACTTATCGATAGTAGGAAACATTTTGCTTTTAATTCATTTTGGGCGCGTTCCAATCGCATTCACTATAAGCGGATGCATGAAGTCTAAGAGTTTTGCTCACATGTGTTTCTTATTTGTAGAAAGTTGAAAGTGTTCTTATAAAGAAATACGCGATAAAATTCTTTGCAATCAATATGATTATTCCTGTGAGATGTTTTACTTGTGGGAAAGTGATTGGAAACAAATGGGAAGCATATCTTGGCTTACTACAAGCAGAGTACACCGAAGGGTAAATTATTGACTTATATAACCTCTTAAAACTGGAAAATATTCATAATCATCATTCATATACATTTATTTGTTACATTCATTTTTTCAAAAGTTTCTTATGCATATTAATATTAATCTAAAACCAAAGATATAAAATTGTTCATTAATTATCATTCATACGCATTAATTTGTTTTTGGTTTATTTCAAAATTGGTTCTAAAAATTTGGTTCTAACATAATACAAGAAATGTATATGATATATATACAGTAAAAGTTATACAGAAATGTTTAGTGGTACTTAATGTTTCAGGGATGCTCTCGATGCATTGGGTTTGAAACGATATTGCTGTCGCCGAATGCTACTTGGACATGTGGATCTTATTGAAAAACTTCTTAATTATGCACCCTTAGAAAAATAAATCCTATCATTAGGTATAGTTTTATCAATTTAAAAATATATTTTTTTATGTTATTTTTATATTATAAAATATTCAATGGGCTTGCTGAAAATAATTCATGAAAATGTGGAAACGTAATCATACTTTTTAAATGTACATTGGTAAATAAATATAAGAGTTAGGAATATGAGAAAAATTAAAATATTTGATGGAAGACAATTCATATGAATGATTCATTTCATTTGTGCAGCCAGTGCATTATGTATTTTAGAATAATCATTAGGAAAACAGAAATGATTATTATACAAAATTTGTTGCATAAAATAGTTGCATTATATTCGTCTGGAAGTTATAAATATTTTAATTTTTGTCAATATAAATCAAATTTGAGGATTCCCTTGTAAATTCATTATTATCTTAATACATATCAATATTAAATGCAATATAAAAAAGTTACATTCCAAGAGAGGAGGTTTATGTTTAAAATAATAATTCCAAATAGCTTGATTACACATATTGTAGAAAAAGTTGATATGAAAATATTAACAATTTATTATCTTTTTTCATTTGATTCACTATAATAATACATACAAATATGAATTATGTTCGATGATTTATCAAATGTGTTATTTAACAAAATTTTCCTATGCACGTATCAATTTTGATTGTTCTAAAATTCTGAATGCACAGAATGATAGAAAAGCTATATTATCAATGATTTCTAGATTCAATCAACTATCCAAGCCTACAATTTTCATTATAGCACTACGCGATCCAAATACTAAGGCTATTATGCTAATTATGCATATAATGATATTTTTCACTGCTACCCATTTGCCTGGTCCAAAACCAGTATCCCAATAGGTAACAATTTCAATGAGCGCAGGCATAAAAAGTCCCAATATGGAAAAACAAAATGCTCCTATTAAACTAATGAAAGGTCCAATATTTGGCACAGCAACTGCGAGTAATACTGTCAAAGAAAACAAATATTCATTGATCAAATATTAGATTTCAATATTCTTAATATATAATAAAGTATAAAAATGAAGAATTTATACCTGCTCCAATAACCATAGTTGTTCTTAAAACATAGTTTGCTATAAGAGGTTTCTTTTGAAAACGATCTTTAATTCCAGTCCATGCGATATCTAAGCATACATAAAATTGTAATCCAAATGTACAATAAACTGCCAAGCCAATTAGAATTTGAACGACTTGAGCCGGACTGTAAAAATAATTTTATAAAATTCTATCACGTTTGTTAATATTAATAATTTCATGTCAATAAATATAGTCAATATTTTACATTTCTTCCGTGGGTAAATTCAAAGTAATGCTATCAAACGTTGCATCTTGATATTTGATATACCCTAAAAATCCAAGAAGAATATATATGAGAGTTACACCAGACATTCCTTTATTGAGAACGCCACAAATTCCTATAATATGTTGCGGGGTTTTCATATTATTCTCCAATGGCATAATTACACCTGTTAAGAATACGATCTTTTATTAATTAGCATTCATTGATATATATATATATATGCACAGATATGTACAGGTATGTGTATATATATAGATTTTACAAAAACATCATACCTATAGCTTCCATAGCAAAGACTGTAATGCTAAAGAAATGAGGAAAATCTTGAATAGGTGCTGCTAGTGGTAAAGTACCAATCGGTGGAAGATCCCAAACTAAATAATAAAATGTTATTCCTAAGCCAGTACCCATAAATATATTAGCTATCATGGAAACTGGCGCAAGATACTTTAAATTAGGTATCCAACTGAGTAGTATCAGCGGTATTAATAGGCAAGCCGTAATTTCGCGTATAATAGTATCCTCGGGTGCACTTTCATTATAATGTTTAATCACTTTTTCAAAATTGGCAGCGACAATGACCGCGTAGACACTGCACGTGCCGAAATATGTTGCGAATAAACTTATTTGTATGATATATCTGTAAAACAATATTACCATTGTTATCAATATTTTGATCGATAATTGATCAACTTTTTAAACGATATATCATATATGTGCTCATAATTATGAAAGTGGTCTAAGTCATATATCTCTTATTTCGATACAAGATTACAGAATTACACAACTCATTTTTTTTTAATTTTAACTTAGACGATTTTCATAATCATGAGGACATATATCATACCTAGATGGTTTCGCAAGTTTAGTTGCCCATCGTGGTCCCATAGAAAATGCTATTTCTGCTACATCAGCAAAATCCATTTCTGTCCTCCGCGTTTTGTGGTAAAGAACGTGCGCGCATTTGACCTACAATTTGTGCACAATGTGATAACGTTATTATTGCCGCTTATTCTTATCTGAGTAATTTCTCATCACTTACTAAGATGTATGCGCAGTGTGTACATATAAAGGCAACAAAAATCGTTGCAAATACTCCAACTAAAAGACCAGCATTTTTAAAAGCAACAGGCATAGCCAATATACCTGTTCCAAGGGAAGCTTTCAATAAATGTGTCAATGTATCACAATCCCTGAATAGAAAAAAAAAACAGAAATAAAACTTAAAATATGATTCAATTGTTCATAGTAACAAAAATCTATAAATATCTTACGTTGTTGGATTATCAACTTTACGTTCGGTGAAAGGATTAAAAACCTTTCCTTCTCCACTTTCAATGTCTTTTGGTGCGACTTGTACTTTATACCTAAAAAATAAAACATTAGATTTTCATATTTATACAGTTTTATACGAATATTAAAAGATAAATAGATTTATATGATTTACTTTGCAGGTAGAACACCATCTTTTATTATATTAGTTTCATCTTGGGGTAGGAAAGTATCCAATTCAGTCGGTGGTTTATTATTAGCGTCCGTCTGCGTTGAAAATAAGAACAAAAAAAAGACAATTGAGATAAGATAAATTTACGAGATATGAGAGATTTACAAAGACTTATATTATGCAAAATTTGTTGAACTTACCATCTTGATTTACGTGTTGATTTATCTTCCAAACTGGTCACCTGCGAATAAGATATGTTTTAATTAATAATACAATTTTTGCGAATAGATACAAATAAAAAATAGACTATTATTATTACTATTGTTTATAGTAGTTTTCCACATAAATTATTTACTTTGTGGTTTGACAATAAAATCTTATCAAAAGGTCAATTTGTAGACTTCGTCTTGTGTGTAATTGATTAGTAAAGATAAATCAATAAAAAATCAAACTATTTATTATCTTGTAAACTTTGAATTTATGATGCTTTTCCTGCATCCAAAGTTGATGGAAAATTTATACAATTTATCGATAAGAAATCATTTGTATATGATGTAGACTATAGCTATGGTACGTATTCATTTCCCTCTCAGAACAGCTACTTTTCCTTTGAAACATTTGTTCAATGGGATCGGAGATATTTGGGCATATCGTTTAAAAAAGACCCGATATATTGTAGCGTTGTGTATAATAAAAAATACTTTTGATGTCATCTGTTTTCGATTTCATGAACTGACCATGGTGTCATATTTATATATTCATAGAACATTCGTATATAAATTTGTATATAATATATAGATTTGTACAATTTGCTATCAAAAAATAATAGAAAAAGAAATAAATCATATATAAGAATTAAACGCAAAATATCTCTTTCATTGGTTATCACTTTTTGAAACCGATTTCCTTGATGTTTCCTCTTATCTTCTTGATTAAAGCGATTATATAAATATATTGTTAGTTAATAAATATTTCTATATTAACAAAATATCACATTCTCGATATTTTGCTTTAAATTCCAATAGTGTTGAAATTAAAAAATAATCTATATCTATTATTTATGGCATTTACGCGCGCAATACGTAATGGCATTGTACAAACCAACAAACAAAAAGAATAAAAAAGATATCTTATGTCAAACTATTATCTATCGCTGTAAACATTCATATTACTTATCATTATATTTCTTTTTTTTGTACAGTTTATCAATTTATTTATTATACTCTCTTCATGTTTCTTCATATTTATATCAATACTTGTATATTACAAATACAAGATTTATATTATAAAAGTTGCAAGAAAGTACATTTAAAAACATTATTTTACAATTTTACTATGCAATTCGTCCTGCATTTTTGTTCAATTGCTTCATATGCAACAATTCTCTTCTTCATTCTTTCCAACGGAATTATCACAATCATTTCGAGTAATTTATTGCCAAAGCGATTACAAGTGTTATTCCATATTCTCATATTTCAAAAAATGCATATTTAATCGTGGTAACGTCAATAATCATTTTCTTTCTAGGAATAATGACGAGAAAAAAACAACAAAAATTGCATTCAAGGCCAAAACAATAATCATACTATTAACGGCTATTTTTTGATAGGCAATCGCAAGTAACGAAAATCAAATTGCTGCTTCCTGTGAAAATTAATGGCACGAGTATTTTAAATAAGAGTAGTATGGCGCTTCCTTGCTATGCAAGTTCGTGATCTTGCAAGATTAGTGAAAGTCTGATCGTTATCGACTTATGATGCTTATATGCTTATGATGCATATCGACGAAGAAAGTCAAGAAAAATTGGAATTTTTTTCAAAACATGCTAATTGATATTTAACAGATGAAATTATTCCTTTTAGATTGCTTATAGATATTTCGAATGATTGCTATCGATGATATACAAACCCGTATTAAGAATTGCATCATGATCGATAGCTAACGACGATCCAAGCTCTGCAAATCGATCAATTTGCATCGATTTTTCATCACGATCTATCTAGATCTATCAGGAATTCTGATTTCTATGAACTTTTTAAGCTTGACATTTGATAATAATTTTAATACCCAAACGATGATTTGCAATCGAATGATGAAATTCTAAATAACAAAATGATATATTATTAGGATTTCATTCATTTGTTGTATATATTAGGTTGCCCCATAAGTTCTTTCCTTTTTTTTTTTTTCTTTTATGCGACCTTTAATAGACAATATTTGTTATTTAAAGTTGATGCCATAAATGGACAATAGATAAGCTTGCATGTCTACAAACACACCCGGCTCGAAGTCATACATAGCGTGGCACGGAAAAAACTTATGGGACAGCCTAATATTATCCAGATAATATACCCTTACGGTTTTATACTCGATCTTTCAAGTAAGTTGCACCTCATCGAAGCCACAAAGATATAATTTTTATTTTATGCTTCGTTATGCCACAAGAAGCTATCATATGCTACTTAAAAATCGATAAGATTAAATTGCTTTTTGATTATTTCATTAATGAACTTTTTTCGAGATTGAATTATAATGATTGTAGAAAATATCAACGATAAACAGTAGAGACCGTATCAAACCTTGCTCACATCGGATGAAACAATAGAAAAATCTAAGAACGTTAGGACGACGATAATATCGTGTTGTGGGAAAAGCAAATAAATTCATCGTATAATAACATTCTGAGGAATTCTTGACAAAATTGTAAACACTGATCGATAAACTGATTCGCATGGTCTCCATGAGAGTCACGCTCCGTATCCCAACGATAAGACCTAAACGATCGCAAGTCACGAAAAAGCCAGGAAAAAAAGTCATTAATTCTCAAGCGGGTTCTCTTCCCCTAGTCTAAAACCATACCGATTCGACGAATTTTGTCCCTTTTACCATTAGAAAAAGAAACCTGAAACGAGTTAGTCCATTTTCTCTTGCCAGCTAGTAAGTCCCGAAATAAAGTTACTACTTATTGTTAGACTATCAAGATTACCGCCTTTCTCACGGCTTAAAACAATAAGAAACGCATATATTTGTAAAGAAATGTTACCTTTCAAGAAAAATATGCATCAAAACATTATTGCACTTTTATGAAATAATGTGGAAAAGTAAGAGAATTATGACCTTCGATGTATGTTAAGTAATGATTGATATTTCTTACGCTCCTATCGCTAGAAATTGACTATTTGGTTAATTAAAATATAAGATACATGTATAATTCGTTCAACGCAAACAACGGTGATTGATTAATGTCTTAACGTTCGATTCATAAATTCAAAAAAAGATGCACTATTATACTATTATGATTTTATATGTTACATTTTTTCTCTTGGCATATGGTGGCTAGAAACAGATAGATTCTACGAATTTATGAATTTTATTTAATTTTAACATTAGCGTTATTCAAACTATATATACGGTGATCAAACAAACATCTCATTTGACAAAACATTTGTCTAGTTTATTTCGAAGAATTTTAAATCATTTTTGTCATTTCGTAAAATACTATTATCAAGAGAAAATATAAAAAAAAATACAAAATAATATATTTCATATCAATCGTACAATTGATAAAATGATTTCGATTCTAACGTTATGTACGATGAAAACAAGTGCATTCATTTAAATTAACATAAATTCACCAATTATACAAAATTATTGATCGCAAAAATAGTCAAATATATTACTCAATTTTACAAATGTTTAATCAATGACTGTAATTCAATTTTAACGTGACACGTGATGACCAAAAAACATCTGTTTATACTAAATTTGTCGATTACTTGACATTACCGACCGAAAAAAAAGGTGAATAGAAAAGCCTAAAAGAAAAGAAAAAATTCCATAAAGAAAATCGAATATATCTGAATTCTCGTTCTAACAAAAGTAAAAGTATTTCTTAGGATGTCGCTGTACTTACTGTACATGTATGTTATATATATATATATATATATATACATGTATATAATACACGTGTAAAATACATACCTCGTGTGCGAGAAGTCGAAGGAAAATGACCGTTACTTTTGGCTGGCTACCTTTGGCTCATTCCTGGCGACTTGCTTCTCTTCTTCTAGTAAACTATTACACATGGGAATAAAGAAGGATGAAAAGTCTGGCTAGTAGTAATCTATTTTTATCTTACTCGTGCGTGTGCGCGCACGCCTAATTTTATATGTATATGTATGTGTGTATGTGTTTGTACGCGTGTATGATCGTAGGAAAGAAACCATGTGATATACCGATATATTCGTGAGTTTCTAAATACTTCAAAAAAATATGGAAGCCAGCGAGGCGAGTACTTCCTCGTTGACCACACTAAAATAACACAAATCAAACCCTTTCCACCAACGATGGACGACCATAACTCGATGCAGTCCTCGACACGACTGAATCCACCGACGAACACCCTCCTACTTTACCTCTCTCTTGCTCTCTCTCTCTCTCTTTCTCTCTCTTTCATTTTTCCCACCTTCCCAATTCCCTTCCCTGACGCTAAGGATTTTGCGTTATCGCGTGAACGTATTTTACCGAGCAAATACTTTAGCCGTATAACAAATGCCTTGAAAATATTCATTTTAGCGGAAACATATTCCTCTCGATTTATTTGACAATAGAAAAATTGTCTAAACTTTCTTCTTTTGTCCAATTAAACATATTCATTTAAATTTGAATTCCTTTCTTGTTCGTTAAATTATAGTTGCGGCACGTTTAAATGGCAACGGCCGAGCTAGCGTCGTTATACTAACACACGTGGGAAGCACTATGGCATGATGAAATCCTCGAAGTCGATGTCGTCGTGGTCGATTCGAAGACGCTCGATTTCGCTTCGAAATTAATTTCAAAGTGAAACGGACGATGCCGCATTTTTCGTTCCACGAATTCAACTGTTGGATTCCGTTAATCGATTCCATTAATAATAATAAGTCTGTCGACTACTTATCTTTCTAACACGAGTTTTTTGTTGTTGTTATGCAATACGGTAATAATAAAATGGGTAGAATCTATGCGCGAATGAGTAAGAAAGAATGACTTGAAGTTTGTTAAACCCGTTTCGTTTCTTAATATTTTTCGATTATTCTTGATTAATCTTGAGTAATGTAGTGTATGAGTATGAATAAGTGTTCCAGTTTTGATGGAACACCTCGTAGAGAAGTTAGAAAAGAAATTCTGTCTATTTGTTAAATTGCGTCAAGTTTCATTGCAACGTTCAGTTTTCAAATTCCACGAGCGTGTTCACCACAATATCAGCGGATATTCGTAACATGATTCTTTAAAAAGTAGATAAGGAAACCTAATATTATAATATATCCTTAGATGAAAAACAAACAATTGCTAATAATGTTCCATTTATAATTATGCTCATTCAAAATAGAAAATTGTAATATTAAGCAGATAAAGAAATTAGTGACGAATTGGAATTCTAACAGATCTTGCTAATTGCTTACGATGTTCTTTTAAAGAAAGAACATGATGCAATATTTGTAGGAACGCATAATAAAAGAGTACTATATGCGACCGAAAGAGCGCGGCTCTATTGCGCTATTCGTGTATCTCTTTGCGCATCGATTTTACACATTTGTCGTCAAATGTCGAGACTATCGATATAATCGGATCTCGTGGTTCGGCTCGACGTCACGTGAATCGAATAGTAATTGAGTACCGGAATATAAGACGCAAATACCAATTTTTTTTTTAATTATATATAAGGTGTCCCCGACAATATTACGAAACTAATTGTTTAACATCAACGTATACAATTTTCTTTAGAAAAATAAATAAACAAACGAAATTGATTTAGGATAGTTTCGATCGTTGGTTCATTTCAACGTCTTTCTTCTTTTTTTATTTTTAGTAATGTTAAAGAGAAGAATCGATATGCACACGTGTGTATATACGCAAGATAATTTAATTCACATGTGCGAAAATCGCCATTCCGGTATTGGTCGTTTTCCTGTCCATCGAATTGGCGAATGAAGTTTCGTTGGTACATTTTTAGCATACCATGTATTTAATTCGTGAAGATAAGGCTTTGTAAGCATTCGAAATTCCTCGTTTCGTTTCGTATCCGTTGTTGGAAATTGAGTTAGCTCGTAAAGTGCTTGCCATCTAGTTTCTTTTTCTACATCTGATTTTTTTCCAGTACAATCTATCAAAATAAAGCTTATATATGTTTGTAAGACTAATTCGAAATGCAATGAACATATATATATAATTCTATATCATTTTTTTAAACAAATTACCACAAACATCTCCAATAGGACATATGGTAGGATTGAATACTTTTGTTCGATAGTTGACAATACTTTCGGCATCTTTTTCTAAAGTCTAAATTCAATTGCAAACGAATTATTTTTCTTTTCCAACGAATTATTATAGGTTCATCTTATTGTTAATAAACTGAAAATACGTCTTCTTAGAGACGTACTAAAACACGACACCGGATATTCAATTACGCACGCTAACGCAATCATTCTCATAAAATGTTTTAAATTGTTCCTTCCATAAATTGACTAAAATAGTTAAAAAAGTAAAAGTATCCTAAAAAAAATACAAAAACATAGAAAATAAAAAATAAAAGTTGAACCTGAATATTGTGATTGACATGATCAAATCCTTGTTCATTGTATTTCGATCGATTACATCCATAACAATTGATAGATTCAACAGGGGATTTCGATTTCTTTTTGCTTTTGTCTTTACACCAAAATGGCAACTTCAAAATGTAACGTGGCTCCTCATCGGATCTAATAATTATTATTTCATTTATTATTATACACAATTACAAATAATAGAAATAAAAATATATGAAAAATTTGACAAATACAAAACGAATACCTTGATATTTTATTTTCATCTTTTTTTTTCGCACTACATTGAAATCCATTAAGAAATTTGTCTTGTGGCATATTTTTCAAACGTCTCTTTTCAATATTCTGATACTCATATTCCTTAGATCTTGGAAATACAGATACTTGATCTTAAAAATACAAAGAATAAATAAAAAACCGCATTGAAGACAGAGTAAATCAAAATAAACTAATAGTTTAACTGAGAAGGTAGCTCAAATTTCCTAGCTGACTTGAATAATCAATTAATCTTTTATGAGACCTTTTAGAGTAACTTATTTTTCATTGTAAAACTAAAAACCTAACTAAAAGCATCCTGTAGAAAAAGATCTGATGATTGAGAGTTATATGAGTTATTAAAAAATTAGTGTCGCTAGCATATTTTAAGAATTACTTCCTTAGAATTTGAATCAATCTATCGTTTATGTGGTTAATATTCGATTGGTCGAAATTGCTGATATGGTACATATGGTATATATCTTTCGATTACTTTTAATGGGGAACAATTAATATTCGACGAGGACTATTAAGTCCAGAGATTCGTTATACGATCATTAATGTACACTCAGGATTATATACAGGGTGTTCAAAAAAATAAAAGGATCGGTGCGGTCCTTAAATATGGGTGTTAAGTTTTAATTATTGAATAGAAAGTAATGAAAAAATATGTATCCTATAAATGTACATAGGAAAAGATAGTTGATATCAAACGAACAAAAAAAGAAACTACTTTATCAATGACGTCAGATATTTCCAAGAATCACTTATCTATCATCGATTGCATCTAAAAATATTATCAAACTTTCAATAGACAATTTGAAAATTTAGAATCCCATTGCTAAAACCTGAAAATATTCAACGTCATTTTTACAAATAAATATTATAATATTTATAAAGGAAATATGACATACCTATCGCATTTTGATAAGAATATTTAAATCGATTAATGAAAGATGAAAATTCGTAAATAAGAAAAGCATCTTTCGATTGAGCATACCACGATCTTTCATTTTCAACAATCGCGTTAAGTATACGAGGATCAAGTTCAGTAGGTAGCGCCACAGGGTCGTCTGTAATTAATCACGTGGGACCTTTAATAATCCAATCAGTTTAATTCGATTCTACTAGAGTGCGGTTTAAATAGTATAGGTTCGCTTCGATAGATTTAACATAAGTGACTACACTAACCTTTCTATTTTCAATCTTTAACTCACCGATTTTTCTTTTTATGGGACATAATTGTTTCCCTATACATTTGTGCGATGGGACATTTTGGAAAACCTCACCGATAATAGGAGATCTGGTATACTAATCAAAATTTAACATTTATTAATTGATTCATTCAAATATTCTTAATAAATAGTAATATACCATAGATATGGCGGCACACTTTCAACTTTTTATATCAAAATTCTTTACTCAATAATTTATTAAAAACACATAACCCCTTATGTTTTTGCCTTAACTTTTTAATCTCTAACTTCAGGCACTAAAAACAGTTTATAAACATGTATATCGATCAGATTATTTTTGTCTACAATAAAAATCGCCAAATTCATATTCACTTTATCGATTTAACCTGAAAACTAATAAAAAAATAACACATTACAAAAAGTATCTTTCAATGATACGAAATGTATTCAAAACATATTGAATTCAAAAATCATCTCTAGTAAAATTTCTATTATTAATTATTAATGAAAGTAAAATTCAACATAAAATATCCTCATGAAAGAGGGAAATTTAAAGGGACAAAGAAGAAAGGGTAGAAAGAGTAATAAAAAAATGAAACAATTGGAAATGCCTAAAAAAAATTCTAAATCATCTATCTTCGGTGTACGCGAAGATTTAGCCGAAAATAATAAAGAGCAATATCTCTTTTTGTTAGAATTTTGTATCCACCGAATAACTGGCAAGAGATTAGCGAAATTGAATCAAATGTTTTTCGTACCAACTAGTGTTGGTTTAGAATTTTTACATTTTACGGAAGAAGATAACATCGAGATAACTCCGGTTGATTTATTATTTGAGCCACAAGCTGGTATAGCAGACGACATTGAATATTTTTATTCTGGTAAATCAGTGATGTTTGCGATGGATCATGAGACGACAAAAGACAAGTCGTTGGAATTTACTGTGAGGATGATGATAAGAAAAAGGATGCCGGAAGGTATTAAACCAGATATTTTAGTGGGCGTTGCAGAATTTGAACTAACTAAACAATTTGCTGCATTAAGAAAGGAGATGTTGCAATGCTGGCATAGGAAAGTACCACCACCCAAGACCTTTGAAGATTCAATTCCTTTAATAATGAATGAGAAACAAGTTGGCAAAGTTTTTCTCTATGTAAGAATGTCTGCTTTCGGTGAGACGATAGTTACAGAATTTCAGGCACCGGAGTCAATAAGGGAAGGATCTGCTTATGTATTTAAAGGAGAAGAATTGAATGAAAAATCCTTGGCATACAAATGTCGAGTGGTTGACTCTGAAAATGTACAGACACAGAAGTCGATAATCAATTTTCCTTGTCGTGCTTGCGTTTTGGAAGAGTATAATTGTTTACCTTGCGGTCAGTCAACTGGTGCCAGAGCGCAAGATCAAATTCAATTGGATGATCCTAAAAGTTTATGTCTTTCGCAAGCTTACAAACCAACCTCTTATCCACCCAGTATATTAGAAGATAAATCAAAGAAAGATTTTTGTAATGACATAAGTAAACCGGTTGGTCCAATTCAAACTAGTCGTGGTCCGGTGCAAGCTTGCGGCAAAGCTGTGATTCTCAAAGTTTCTGGTCTTTTGAATGGAGAAGCTAACAAGCAACCAACAGTCACAGTCTCACCGGAATGTGATGCGACTGGACCCGACTGTTCGCCTGATCCTGAACATGATGTTTTTATTTTGAGAATTGGTAAAAAAGGACTGGTCGGTGCTGACGAAAAATCAGATTTACAATTAGAAATGAGGACGCCTAAGGGCCCTGAAAGAAGACCTCCGATCAGATACGAAACGCGTCAAATACAAACTGATATTGATGAGAAAAAAAAGAAAGGGAGAAAAGGGAGGAAAAAGAAAACATAAAGAAATTCTTTTAGTTGCATAATTTGACTCTGTATATGATTATCATATACGAATGTAGTTATAAATTCTATCAGAAAGGATGCCATCTATCTTATAAATAATATATAAACTCTGTTTTTCTTTTTTTTTTTCTTGCTTTTTTCTAATGACAGTTTTAAATTATAGCGTAAAGATTAGATATATCATTATATTTCAGACAAAATTTGTGAGCAAATTAATAAAAACTTTCCACATAAATTGAACTTAATAATTTAATATGATAATATGGATGATAGTCAACAATTATTTCTCATTGAATTTTTGGTAGACAGAATTAACATTCCAGCTATTCGAGCTATACATCAAGAAATGTTACCAGTGACAACTTGCGTTTCTTTCCAGGTTGTACTCTTGTTATTACTATTATGAATAAAATAATTATAGAATCATGTATGAAAAATGTATAATAGGTCCTTGGTTTACCACCTATCAATATTCACGAAGAAGCATCTGTAGAAAAATGTTCTTGCCTTAGCGGTGATGTTCAAGTATTTAAAAAAGGAAAGTCATGTCTTTTTGCCCTACCCAATAATGTTCTTCGAAAACCAATTCATAGTTTTCCTGTAACCATGTCTGTTTATAAAAAACTTCCACCCGGAGTATTACCAGATGTAATGTTAATTGGCACTCATCAGATACAATTAAGAAATCTGATAAATGATTTACTCAGTCAGCGTATATTTAAAAATGGCAACCCATGCAGATCGTTAAAAAGTACTTTCAGGATTACAACAGCGACGGGACAAGGTGTCGGCGAAGCCACCGTCTTTATACGTGTATCCTGTTTTGGAAAAAAAATAGTTACTCAATTCCAAATCCCTCATAATAAAAAACCTTACTTATTCAAAGGAACCAAGGATAGTCCAGTATTTCAATGTAAAAGAATACCTTCAGACATATTTTTACCAGAACCTGTACGATGCAATTGTCCTGTAAAAAAAAGTCCAGATGGCAGCGGCGAAGGAAAAACTTGTTGTCTTTCCAAGACAAGTCCTGAAACTAAATCTGGTATGGATAAGTGTAAACAAGCACATTGTGAACCGCTACCTTGTTGTTTATCCAGTAAACAACCTATTTCCAATTGTCTTGACTCACAGTTAGTTTACATTTTTATATCGCCCATGTGATTTATTTTGCAATGAAATAATGATTAATTTCAATATTATTTATCATGTTTTAGATCAAACCAACAACAACAACAATGTCAGCCAGAATATCTTAACTCTAAAAATGATTCTCTTCAGACACCATATGCACCTTCTTGTATGCAAACAGTAAAACCTGCTTTAACTTGCAGTCATCCTGCCGCTGCAAATACTTGTCTCTCCTGTTGTTCACCTCAACCGATTAAAGACATCACCTGTGCTCCCTGTTGTGGCACAAAAGGAACTACTTTTGATGAACTTTTTAAAGAAAAACCTGTAAGAAAATGTGGATGCATTATCAAAGAACAACCAACTTGTAACTGTAAACAGACCTGTTTTTAGAGACATTATAGTGAGTGGAAAAACTATCTTTATTGAATTATCTTCAAAACTTATATATGCATAGAGAAAAGACGAGAGAAAAGAAAAAGAGAAAAAGAGAGGGAGAGAGAGAGAACATAAGTTTTTTTTTTCAACTTGAATTCATCTTTAAGATTCAATCAATTAACATGAAATTGTTGAGAATGGTTTCAATGTTCTTTTTTTTTTATTACAAACCAAAAGTAAACTTTTCTAATCATGATTTTAATTATTTATTTAAAATGAAAAAATTTGTTTATTATACAATAAACGGCGGAGGCATATCAAATAAATAATAAAAATCATATTAATGATAATATAAATTATTCAAATAATAATATCACATAAAATAATAATGTCTGAACGTATCAATGAGAAGAAAAAGAAAAAGAAGAAGAAGAAGTCAAAGAATACTTTGGCAAAGAGAACGTCAGAGATTGAAGCCAAAGAAAAGAAAGCTTGTGAAGAAGAAAAACTGCATAAGTGGGAAGAGGCATGGAGACAAAAAGTTCAAGTACAAGAAGAGCTCGACGATTACAGATGTTGCCTACATAAAGGATTATGCTTAAAACCAAAGACACAATCTAATATTTGGATAAATGTAATAGAAGATAAAATGACTCAAGAAGTTCATATTGCTTTCAAGTAATTTATGATTTAGATAAATAATATTTTATTGTTAAATAATTTCTTTTTATTAATCTCCGTTTTGTAATTTTTATTATTACTATTTTTTTATTTCTTTTGTAGACACGCACCTGTCCCTAAACCAAGACCTCCTCCAATTCCAAAATTCAAAAGGATGGAAATTTCGTCAAGTTGCAAAGACAAAATTGATCAAATTATTCAGATGCAAAAAGAGACAAAAGTTATTAAAAAAAAGATTAAAAAGAAAAAATAATAATGCTTTTCGATTTGATTAAAAGGAACAAATTTTTGTGTTCTAATTTATTAATATTATATTAAATATTAATAAATAAAATATAATATATTCAGTGTGTTCTCCGATATGTCGATTAGTGTTTAAGATATCTGGTTCTCAACCAGGAGGCTCGGATTCGCGCGATTCCCGGTACCGGAAAATTATATATATATATATATATATATATATATATATATATATTTATAGTATATAAGTATTATCTCCCATTTTCGTTGTACCTTTTTCTCTATCGTTTTATTTATAATAGATCTCTAGATCAAGAAAACGGAAGGTGCATCCGCAATGTCGAGGCACGTTATTTTCGTCGGGTTGACTCGAGTGCATTCACCTGACAACAAGTAGCTTAATGATATATAGGGAAGTCAAAGAAGTCACGAATAGTATCTATAATAGACTTATACTCATTTTTTAATCACTATTTCTTAATAATAATATCATACATTTCATATAAACGAAAAATAATAATTTCGCGTAATAGATATAATAATAAATTAAATAATAAAAATAATAGATAATTTATAATATTTATCTATTGTTGATATAGTATTAACAATTAAAAAATAATACAAATTATTTTATTCCTAATCTAATGTCATTTTTCTTGGTATTTCGTTGTGATAGATTACTTCATCGCCCTAATGAACCTTAATTACTCGAAATTGTCGGTTATTAGAAAGATAATCATTAAATTTTATAATCACCCAGAAATTTTTCCACGAAATAATTCCTTTTGTGAAAAATTATTTCTAGAACGATTAAATCGATTTTTAAATAAATTAGTACAAAAATTTACAAAATATATATATTTATATTATACATAAACAAGTATATTTATATACACATAAAAATAAATTGCCATCCAGACGCGAAAACACATAAAATCGTTCAACGGAAATGATTTTCTCCCAAAGAGAATGCATATGCCTTTGAAAGAGAGAGAGAAAGAGTTTCTACAGGGTGGGTCAAAAATTGCCAAGAAATTTCACGAATCAATTACTCCTTTCGAAAGATTTTCAGGTTTGCACTTATTGTTAAACTTATAGTTTTACAAACTAGGCTTGTAGTTTGATAATATGTAAAAGAAAATGAATCTATCAAGTCTCGAAAAAAGGTAGACGATTTAAAAAATGACCTTGCCACTTTTAACCCACCCTCTAAAATCGTGTAAAAAGAAAGAGAGTATAATGGTCTCTCTTTCTGAAGTTCCTCTTCGCCATTATCAGCCCCTCGTTCATCAATCTCTTTTCCACCCTCGCAGGAGACCGGCTCGAAAAGGGGGTGGATAGACCGATATATTCGAGCAGGCGCACTAAAGGTGCTAGAGGTGGTGGAGGAGTCCGGGGGTTCGGGGATGGAGGATGAAGCTGAGAGTACAAACCGCATATATAATCCAGTGTAACGCGCGTTTACCTCGGCCAGAGAGAACTCTACTCGGAACGAGTATAAAAACGAACGTAAAAATGTTCGCAACAACTACTAATTTCATTTGAATATTTCTAAACTAGGGTGACAAGTGTTTACCAAATTAAATTATTGTCTATTTAACGATAGCGAGCGATGAACAACGGTTCTCCACAGAATTCCGATACAGCTGCCCAGCAACATCGAAGCGGCGTTGACAACAGCGATGAAGAGGAATGGAGTGGTGTTGTCGAATGTGTAATTATTTATTCATTCCTTTATTAATAGTGTATATACATCGTGATATAGTCTAATTTGTCATACAGTATTTTTTATCTTTACTTTTTTTAATATTGATTTACCGTTATTAAATAATTTTTTCTTTGCTTTTCTATGCTTCTGGTGTCTTTCTAGTCTCTGGATGTTCATATGATTTCTGTGTCTATTACCTTGATAGCAGAATTAGTATTAGTATTAATAATATACTACATAATAATGGGAGGATTTTATCTATGTAAGGCGCGTATATGTATGCAATTCGAGTAGTAATAACTTAGTAACTACTAAAGGTTTAACAAATAGCGCAAAGAGAGAGAAAAAAAGACAAAATCAAGTCGATGAACGGATCGAAGTACTGCATAGAGATTGTACATTCTTGCAACATTTTTCTTCATTAGAATTCTTCAAATTTTAGATGTAACTAATGACATTTTAGAATAACTAATGATTAATTTTTTCCTCCTTATGTTTTTTTTTATTATTACTATATTATTGATACTTATATGTGGTTAGTGTCATACGAAACGTGATTCTTCGTTCGTGATTCGTCTCGTCGTTCAGGGTCGGTGAGCTTCTTTACCTGTTTACCTTTTATCGATGAATATGCTTACGTTGGAGTAGAACGTTGACATTTTCGAGATCATTGAATAGGCTAACTATTACTTACACTACCGTGTAACTTTTCATAATAATTTTTTATCGACGATATTATTTCAATGCTTTTTAATTTCAAACGGCGAGAGGATTTAATGTCCTTATATAAAAGAAAAGAAACGTTTTTTATTAAAAATAATAGTGTAATTAAAAAATGCACATGCACTATCGCGTTTGCGAAAATAATATGTAATCGAGTAACATTCGTAATCGTGTAAACATTTTTCTTCTAATTCCAATCAAAAATAAAATCGCCCAACCAAATCGCGTTATAGTTGCACGAGAATCATCCTGTATAATTATTTATAGTTTGAATTTTAATTAAATAGATGCGTTTATATTTATATTGTAGGCTGTACTGGAACGATCCAAGTCGGATCGTGTGACAAGGGTGGATGAGGATAGGAGACGCCGTACCATTATCGTGGAAAAGAAAAATGGCACGTATGGTTTCACGTTACAGGTAAAATATGCATTCACCTTTATGTTTTATATATTTTTGCTTTGCTAAGCCACAAAGAATACGTGTCATCTAATATCTTATATATTTTTTAAATAATTTATCATTTCTCTCTTTCTCTCTTTTGAAACTGGTAATTTAGAAATATATTATAAATATATATATATATATTGTAGCAACTATATGTGATTTATTTATTATTAATTATTAAAATAATTTTTTTTCAGAGTTATGGTATACATTATAAGAGAGAACATGAGATAGAAATGATCACTTATGTTGATTACATCGAATACGATGGGCCTGCATTCAAAGCAGGTATGAGAGAAGGTGATGTTATACTTTCCATAAATGGTCATGAAATGGATCGAGCCGATCACACTACTCTCGTTAATTTTATAAAGAACTGTGATACCAGAATGAGAATGGTCGTGTCATTTGAAGACTGTGTAAGAAAGGTATAAACAGCCATTTATACTTTTTCATATAATTTATTCTAATGAAAGTATAACAATTATCACTTATAAAAAAGTTTATCTTTAAATCGCACTCTACAAATAAGAACTGTCTCATATAAAAATAAGGTTGTCCCATAAGTTCCTTCCTTTTTTTTTGATGCGAATTCAATTGACGATATTTGTTGTTTAAGGTTGATTTACTGTGTTATATATGAACCATTCTGCTCTATTACCTTCTTCCATCTCTCAGGAAACCTCATTACGTCCTCTTTCCAAAATTGTTGAGACTTTTAAAAAAAGATTTTAAAAGAGACTTTGTCCCCAACGAAACGTACTTTGAAAGAGCTATATGACGACTGAAACCGATGCCATAAATGGACAATAGATAAGCCTGCATGTCTACAAACATAGCCAGCTCGAAGTCATACATAGCGTGGCGCGGAAAGAACTTATGGGACAACCTAATATTTAAATATTAATTAAATTCGATAAACGACTAAATGAAATTTGATCTTCTAGGTACAATTACATATGCGTTACTTAGAGCTACAACGTGCTCTTCAGTTACGTTTAGGTGAACTTGAAAGATTATGCGAAAGAGAACGTTCCATATTAATGGGTCGATGGAAAACCCATTCACTTCCAGCACGTAAAAGAACACCCAGTAGTATTATAACGAGTAATCCTAATCAACCATCACCATCTTCGAGTTTTAATTCGTCAACTATTCAATGTTGTCGGCCTGCAACATCTACGGAACATCTTTTACTTTATAATTTGGTGATTATAAAGATTAATAAAAATTGTTGGTGGGTATAATCGATGAAGTAATATTATATATATACATTTTCAGTTTGGCGATGGCCGACCATGTTTGATACCACGTGCAGCTTGTTTGGTAACGGTAGGGCCACCACGTTCTCGAAGCGATCATCATCAGTTTCTTTCAAAGATGCCTAGTGAATCTGGTGCATCCACTTCGTCGCGTCATAGTTATCATCAAGCAAATGGTATGAGCGGTACTCCAGCGAAAATGAAATCACACAAATCTTGTCAACAGCAACAAAATTCGTCGACGAGTGGAGATGTATTAGCGGTTCATCATTCTCAACAAAATAGTCTCTGCGTAGCTTGTATCTCAAGTGCCAATCGTCGTCGAGAACAATCGGATACTGGTAGTTTGGATGCATATGATCTAGCTAGTCCCTGCTGCGATCCAAATTGTGTCCCAAGCCGCAGAAGACGTGAGAAACAACGTCGAGCTAGAAATGAACAAAATCATCTTCAGCAACAACATTTGCAGCAGCAGCAGCAACAACAACAACAACAACAACAGCAGCAGCAGCAGCAGCAACAACAGCAACAACAGCAACAACAACAACAACATACAGCACAAGCTCAACGAGAACAGCAGCAGCAACAACAAGGACAACAACAACAGCAGCAACAGCAACAGCAACAACAGCAGCAACAACATGGTACGCACAATTGCTCCAGGTCTTCTGGCCATAGTCTTCATTCCATTACTAGCAGCGACGTATCAACTACCGCTGATAGCGTGGCTTCTTGTTCTACGAGTTTAAGTACAGACACTCTTTATTGGGATCCAAATGTTCATCAAAGACCACCACCGTGCCTTCAATATGCCAAACCCAAGTCATGGGATAATTTAACGACAAAAGCTTTCGGTGGATACGGATTTGGTTATGGGTATCTCGATACAGCTACAATAAAGACTTATAGCGCTGAAAGACCTGGAAAAGGAGGTCATGGACGTGCTAAAACACCTACGGGTACGGTACACAGAAGAATAAATAACAATACGTCTTATTCCACTGGTAATACTCGACATTTTCAACCTACTAAATCTACCGAAAGTCTTCTCATTCCACCTCCTTATCAAAACGAGTTAGACGGTAGTATAAGCTGTGAATGTTTAGACGAACCAAGCCCAAGATTTTTACCAGTTGTTCAATTGGAAAAACATAAAGAATCCGGCTACGTCGCTACTAATCACGCTCAAATCAGACATCGACGTTCTAGTCACTCTGAAGGAAAGCTCAGAGCGATTAACAGTTCCGAAGTAACTCGTTTGTGAATTTATTTCTTTCTAGATTTCTATATATCCTGGAATATTATGTAAAATGAGCGTTGTATCATATCCGTGGGGTGGTCTTTTCTGCTCTTACCAATCAATCTTTTCTATAAAAGCTTGTATTTGTGTTTTCCGAGAATAAGTTTGAAATTTGACGAAGAAACGTTCCGTCTTCTAGACACCTGATTATACATGAAAGAATTTCATCAAATTAGGATTATTGAAATGTAGGTTTGAAGTGGAAATTGAAATGAAAAATATTTCTCGTCGAATAATTAGGTGTTGAAGATGATTACTCAGTTATACCAAAGACGAGACTATAATATTGCTCTATAATGAAAGAAATGCACAACTGCACTTGGAATTGTCTCCTTGATCTACGTAGAAACTAAAAAAGTTTGATAAATTTTTTAAGGGCGCGCCAATTAATAGCAAACAGTTTAATACATTAGATAACCACTTCCATGGACAACACAAATAAATATTATAAATAAAACAATTAATTGTGTGAGAACATTTTTATTTAATTTTCCGTAGATAAAGGTGTCATAAGAAACAAAATTAATTGCAATTTAACGTTTTACCTTTTTTCAAGAGCCTTAGGTAAGAAAAAAAATTTATTAAAGAAATAAAAAACTTACAAATAAATATTTCGATATAGTTTACAAAACAGTATTGAACGCACATAATTGTGTACGAGTATATATTTATATATGTATAATATATATTGATTTGTATTAAGCTACGTTTCAATGAAAATGGTTAGGACAAATTTGTTCAGCTGTCAGATGATTGGCTCATGTGTCGACCAATTAGAACCAAGATTATTACACCGTTAGAAAACACTTTTCGTGCAATCTTCAAGCAACATAGGTTGGTTAGGTTGTGTTACTCTGTTAGATGCTATATTATTCTACTAAATATTCATAAATATTTAATTAATCGTTTATAAATTTCTATAAATATTGTAAAAATATTATACAATATGCCTAAAAAAAATTTCGTATCGTACATAAGGCCTGAAGAGCCTAAATTTTTAAGGGAATTAAAAGAACAGATTAACTACAAGGAAGGACCAACGATTAACACTAAGGTATAAGAATGTATAACCAATTTCTTATTTTTCTTTATTGATCTATTATAAATTATTTCTTACTTAAATTTCTCTATCCTTTATATAATTTTCTATCATCTGTATAATTAATCTGAAATGATATAACATCATCTTCGTTTCTTTTATTTTGAACAGAGAGAAATCTTGCCTTGTGTCTTTGATGAAGAAGCAGAAGATTTCGAGGGAGAAAAGCCTCTTGTTGTTGTATTAAATTCAGGAGATCTAACCGCCGAAGAAGCTGAAGCTTTTGAAAAACAAAAAGGTAGATTCATATACATTTGTTCTTATTCAATGTCGAAGAAAATTGTATTCTTGTTTTTTATATATACCTATTTGTGTTTGAAAATTTATAGAAGAATCTACTGGTCCAGCTGATTTATCTAAACGAATAATATTCAGCAGAAATAAATCAAAAAAGAGGACTTTGGATTCTGTAGAAAAATGTAATAATAAGAAAGCTGACAAGAGCAAACGCAATAAAGCTGTCTTATCTTTTAACGATGAAGAAGAAGAAGAAAATATAGGATAGAAAGCATCTTTGTAAATATTGTAAATATTTTTACTTTATTATTTATCTTAACGATACTTTATTTAAATAGAGTATTTGTTTATTTAAATAAAGTATCGCGTGAATAATTTTTGCTTTGATTTCAATCCATAAGACAAATTATCATATTGTTTACATATGGCACAATTTATTTTTCTTACTTTTAAAAATAATATTATTAATCCGTTGATTGTGGTGCATTCTCTCATGGAATCATTAACATATGTGATGTAACATTTGCCATATCAGTTACTGAAACTGGCTATCGTACATCATTAAGATCATTAATCAAATGTCATATTTCGTACAAGTAGGTGCGAAATATGCTTATAAAGAAAAACATTTCCTACTAGATGGACTTAGTAAAACAATAAATATAGTATAATAACAAAAAGATATGCTTCTTCGTATATTTTGATGCGTCTGTGATTATGTATATATACGCCTTTAGTAATCAAAAAAATTTCAATGAAAACTTGTACATATAATATTGTAATAAATGTACACGGCGTACTGCGTGAAAGTGTAAAAATATTATTGAATAGGTAATAGAATTGTTTGTAAGGATAGGTATAGCTTATGTTATTTTATAATAAATTTGTTTGGATATTTTTATAAAAGTGTAGACATTTTATCAGATAGGAAATACAATTGTTTATAAGGATATAAGATGTTATTTTATAATAAATTTGCAATGAAGAAAAATAAAAAAATATTTTCTTTAAAAAATGAAAATGTAAAAGAAAATATAAAAAAAAAATTAATGAAAAGAAAAAAAAATGAAGCTTAAAATAGAAAAGGGCGGATACCTTAACGTCAACCCCGTAGTTCGTAGATTGTTGCAGTTGCAGATTGCCCTTATTCTTAGGGAGAGTCTCTCATTGGACGTGCACGTGTATATGATCACGTGATATTTTAGAAGAAATGCTACTGGTTCGTTTGGCCCCTTTAACATAAAGCGTACGTCATAAAATTGATGGTCACGTGATTAGGGTCGCCATCTTGGCAGTTTTAGCGACGGAGGTAAGAAAGATCCATGACGTCGAAGCCAAATAAACATCAAATATATGTGAATAATATCGATACAATAACGGTGTGTAAGAAGTGTAGAACGACTCTTAAGCGTGTCCGACATTTGTCAGTGTATTAAACAGTCAGTGAATTTAAATAGCGCGGCATTTCAAATGCGTGTGTGTTTCGATTATCGGTCCTCTTTGGGGGGATAATCGCGATCAGACGTCGACCACCACGGCAGCTGTTCGACGAGTCAAAGGCAGCCCTTACAAAGAAATGGCGGGATCAATCTAAATCTTCCCATTTAGAAACAACTGTATCAGCGATCTAATTTCCTTTCTTTTAAAGCGAGGTAAAGTAAATCTCGCAATCGAGCTAATGAAAATAGTATATATATATATATATATATACTATTATATATGTATATATATACTATTATATATGTACATATATATATATATATATATATATTTTCAACTTTTACAATTGATCTCTCTGGAATTTCTCATTTCTACGGTTATATACTTAATAACACAATACTCCAGGGCCGTATCTATCTCCTCTTACACCCCTATTTTCTTTATTTTATATTTTCTTTATAATTAGTTTAATAATTGTCGTCTGCTACAGATCATATTTTCTAGAACGTCATAATTTTGTTATGACAAATTTTACACAATATTTAATCGAAAAAAATTACGTTTAACTTCTCTAAATTTTTAATGTTTGCTAACACAGCAAAATTTTGCAAAAATGTTTATTCTCATAATTATTATAATATTTAAATCAACAATTTTGTTGATATCTATCTTTATCAGAAAAAAAGACATATCAGAATGTAAAAAAATGTAAAGCTTAATCTATGAAATGAAAGCGTTTGATATTCCCTCTAGAACATCCATCCTCTCGCCTGCTAACAGCAAGATGATCCCGACGAAGAAAGGAGAAGAATAAAAAGTTGTAAAATTGGTACGGCCCTGGGCATAAGTTTTAACGTTACCACCGACGCTTCTGTCCTCTAGTGTGTAAGACATTCATCGTTAGAAATGTTTACTATTTTCTCCAATTGGTGTGAATAAATCGTGCGTAAGAGACGTCGTAAGAAAGTTGTAATGCAAAATAACTTCATAAGGGGTGGGGGCAGAAGAAAATAAAGTACAGTCAATCGAAGTAAGCGAGGGGAAAAAATGGTACTTTATCATAAATCTGTATAGGAGTTCAATGGTGGTCAGGTGCGTATTATTGAGTGCGTGACCGAGACAGAGAAAAGCGAGAGAGATGGAGAGATGAAGTGAGAAAGAAACAAAGAAAGAGACGGACGGACAGACAGACAGACAGACGTAGCCGCCGCCGTCGCCACCACCGCCGCCGACGACGACGACGACGACTATAACTGCAGTGGAGCGGCGTCGTGTCGTGCTTAATGTAAGACACGGAAAAAGAAGAAAAGAAAGACAGAAAAAGGAGAAAAAAATTAGACAAATCATAAAACTCGACACACACGCGCGCGAAGTGGCAACGACGCAAACAATATTTAAAAAGGCAATCATGTGTGATGGATATTCGACTTGATTTTCTTCGATTCTTCGTTCACGAGTGCATTTCCCCCTCCCTCCTCATTGTCGTTTAGCTCTTCTCTAAAGTTGATGATGGCAACGTGTCGCGCGTCGTTCGCAAAGATGATACATTACGTGTACGGGGTCAAAAAATCGTTTTTAATCAAAGAAAAACTATTAAAGAATTATTTGGACTACAAGTTTTAAGAAAAAAATAAGAATAATTGGTCTATTTTTCTTAATTATCAGCGAACCAAGTCCTTCAATTATTCCTACTTGCAATATCATATTTCATGACATAATATAACATGTAAAACATTAGGGAATAAAAGAAAATGAGAAAGTATCATTAGGGTAGATCTTTGATGCGTCATGGGGTTGTTTAGCCACGTTTTACACTCGAAGAGATTAACTGTGTGACGCGCGTGTATGCGTGTGTATGCAAGGAGGGGATATGTGAGTGAGTCAAGGAGCACAAGAGAGAAAGAATAAGAGAGAGACAGTCTCTCAGAATAAGAGATTCAAAAAGGTAAAGTAAAAAGGGTCGAGAGAATCGAATGTTTGTTTGATTAGTTTAATAAATGAAAAATTGTAGACTCGTTGCATCTCTCGCAGGTGACCGACGCTAACCGTTAAAAGCTGTGCTTCGTGGACTCTCTCCTCTCTCTCTCTCTCTCTCTCTCTCTCTCTCTTTCTCCCCTCTCTCTTTCTCTCTTTATCTATCTATCTCTCTCTTGTCCTCCCGCCCTTCTCCACTCCACTCCTCTCTTTCTCTCGTTCCTCTTTCGTCGGTCTGCTGCTACTGCTCGCTTCCGTGGTTGTGTGTCGCGTTGCACGGGTGTGCTCGTCGCCCAGGAGGCGATAAAACCTTTTCCTTTGACGATTCAAAAAGTCGTGCATGTGTATATCTAAGAACAATCCTCGAGGAAGGATCGCATAGGATTATATGATTCGTGACCCGTCAAACGGTGCCAGCTCGAGAGGTAAATTTTCTTGGTTATGGGTTCACCTCTAAGGGGAGTTAGAAGCACGGAATTCACAGCGCCATTTTGAAAAATTTGGCCCCGCTAAAAATTTACTCCCTCTTTTTGCTCTCTCTCTTCTCTCTCTCTCTCTCTCTCTCTCTCTTTCTCTCTTTCTCTCTCCTTTTCTCTCTCTCTCCTCTCTCCTCTCTCTCTTTCTCTGCCTCTCTCTCCCCTCTCTCCTCTCTCTCTCCTCATTCTCCTTGTCTTCCTCTTCTTTTTATCTACCAATCTTCTTTCATATTCGATGAATATTTTGGAAAATAGACTATTAACTTTTCCTTCTCACGTTAGTTGTCTTATTGTATTTATTGTTTAGATCGACTCTACAGCCGTGGCCCCATGGACGGGATATTGGAAGAACCTCCTGTTAAGGACTCTTCTCAGAGCAATTCTGACAAAGTGTCAAAAGGTAGACTTTTTATTTTCTTCTTTATTTAATACGACGTTTCTGACGAACGTACATCTTAGTTTGCATTGTCAGTATATGTTATTTGAAACTTATTTGTTTGTTAAGTAATCTACTAATTATTTTTATTTTTGTATTAGTTTACTTTATGGAGAATGTGCTCTGTTTTTTTGGAACATTAAGAGATTTATAACTTGTTTGTTTAAGACAATTTTTAAAAAATGACATAAATTTAACATTTGTCAAGTGTTTATGATGATTATATAAGCTGTCTTATAATTACATGGTTAAAGACGGTATTATGGAATTTCCCAACGGAAATTTCTTTGCGATATAAGATTTATTTCTAACGCAATGTTCCAAAATTTTGTTAACATTTTAAAAGCATTATCTGTTTGTTCTCAGACATGGTCATTCCCAATGGTATCAATGGAAAATATGGTACGGAAAAAGAAGAATATCCAGACTCTGATGGTTGCGCATTCAAAATTTCATCCAAAGAGACTGTTAGCAAAGGAAAGGAAGAGATGGAGATGGATGTGGAGGTGGAGGGAGAGGGGGATGGGAATGGGAATGGAAATGGGAACGGCAATGGGAATGGGGATGGGGATGGGGATGGGGATGGGGATGGAGATGGGGATGGTGATGGTGATGGTGGTAGAGATGAAAATGGAGACATAGATGGGGATGGGGATGGAAATGGGGATGAGGATGAGGATGAGGATGGGAATGGGGATAGGGATGAGGATGAGGATGGGGATGATGGGGATGGGGATGGTGATGGTGATGGTGATAGGGATGGGGATGGGGATGGGGATGGGGATGGGGATGGGGATGTGGATGGGGAGGGAGAAGAGGAAGAAGACGATGATGAGGACGAAGAGGAGGATATTATAGAAAGAAGACACTTTGAGAACGAAGAAAGGGGTACAGAATCGGAAGATAGTGAGCTAAATAAGTTGAGAAAAAATAGGAATAAGGGGGGTTCATTGTACAAGTCGAGAAACGACTCTATGGTTTCAGAATCTTCCGATGGTGTCAGTGAGATGAACGATACTAGTGAAGTGTCTAGAAATGAAGACAAGTGTAGAAATACATCTTGCGAAGCTATGGATGTTGATGAACAGAGTAATAATTCTGATGTAGAATGTTTGGATGAGAGTATCACAAGAGTACGAATGGATAATGACAGCATGTTTGCTTTAAAAAAATCTAATATAAATGAAGGTAAAGATATGTCATGTAGTAACATGCAACAATCCAATAGTTCTACTGAAATCCTAGACAGCAGTATGGATACATCCGATGTAAAGATATGCGAAGAAAATGGATGTTGCAATAGTCCAGACATAGAGGAGATAACAGATAGTGCAAAGAATAATGGTCTTAATACATCTCAAGAGCGTTCTTTAAAGGATCCTGCTAAACAGAAAAAATCAAGAAAGCAAGTAGATCTTAGTAGTATTACGCCTAGAAGAAGTTCTCGTAATATTAAAAGAACAAGTTATATAGAAAGAGAAGTCGAAGAGGAAGCGGACGACGATGGTTCGGATATAGAGGAAATTAAACCGGAAGATCCGTTAGCTGGAATAGATACTAAGGATAAAGAGAATTCCAAACTGAAGTCACCTACGAAAAATAGTAAAACCACCATTGTGGTTAATGATACCAAGCGTTTGGTAGAAATAGCTGCTGGCAGTAAATCAGTTAAAGGTGGTAAAAAGGAACCTACGTTAGTTATAATAGACACAAACTCCATACTTTCTGGACGCGGCGGCATGCCTGTTGGTAACAATAAGCCTCACCATACCGTTTCTAATACAAGTTCTTTCTCGGTCGTTCCAATGAATATGACCACTCAAACGATGTATCCAAATATGAGAACAACTATTACGCCGGTACCCATGACATCTAAAACTGCACAATTAAGCCCCAAACCGAGTAGCATGACTACGGTCAATCCTGCTTTGGCACCAATATTGCCAACTTTAACAGATGATATGTTTGTGGTAGAAGCACCATCATTTATAGTACCTTACGTTTATGAAAAGCCTCCATTGAAACCATTGAAAGAATTTGTTTCTAAATTAGAAAAAAGCATAGAGGAGAAACAAAAAGAAGAAATATTGAAAAAAATGACGGAAGATACTAAAGATAATCAAGATATTAACGAAGATTTGTTTGAAATAAATAAAAAAGTAGATATTAGAAACCAAGAAAGTGAGAATGAGGGAAGTTTGAGGTCTAAAAAGGATGGAGACGATAGTGGGCCTGATATGACGGATGTTATGGAATCTGGTATTTCTAATATGAGCGACAAGCACGATATGAGACAAGAAGATAGAAATAAAGTAATAACTTACTTTGACTTACCTTTGGGTAAATTTTTCATGCAAATTGGAGTAAATCTCGTTCAAGAGTATGTACAAACGGATTTACTACGGACTCAGAAACGTAAACAAGGCAAAGGTAGCACGTCAGCTGAGACACAATTAGCTATAAATTCACTCATCAAGAATTTAGAGTTTAGTAAGGAAAATAATGAACCATTCCACTTAGAAATGAAAAAATGTGAATTCTGTAATTTTAAAACAGAATCTACATTAGTAATGCAGCATCATTTAGAAACTCCTCATATGCGAAATTACGTCTACAAATGTAACTTTTGTCCCATGGAGGTTCGAAGTCCTCACGACATATTATTCCACATGGAAGCAGAACATAATACTCGTGGACGATTGGAACGCGGCCCAGCTTTTCATCAGTGTCCAAATTGTCCGTTTGAAGATAACCAAAAAGGCAAACTTACGCGACACATTCTTGCTTGTTCTAAGAAGTTTAGACCAGAACGGAATCTAGAACCTGCTGCAGATTGGGAGCCACCTGCTAAGATTCCAAGATTAAATCGTGCGCGTCCTGTTGGACCGACCAATCCTAATGCTCTTGCTATGGCTATGAGTGCCAAAGGTCCGCAACCGCTTTTACCCAAACTACTTCCGGCACCTATAACAGGTCGTGGAAGAGGACGCCCGCCGATGCAACCTAGATATCCGGATATGAAAACCTTAAGACCTGGTAGTACTACTATGCGGCAAGGTAAAGTTCTAACGATATTTATACAATAATATTTATAATAATACGTATTTTATATTACAAATGCAAAATCAATGTACATACATTTAATGTAGGAATGTTTTAGATAATGTTGCAGGCATGATGTATCGACCAACATCTTCTGGCCTATTAGTTCCCGCTTCATACCAATTTGGTAGTAATCAGTTGTTCCAGGTAAATTATTTTATCATTTCTTATTCTTATTATTATTTGCACAATGTTACAAAATTACATTTTATTGGACGTATTCTATTTAAATGCTATATTTTTCTTATACCAATAAGCATAATACATAAGCAGAAATACATCTGAAATATACAATCGAAGGTTTAATGAAAAATGCAACGAAATAAGCAAAGTATCATTATTTTGTAAGAATGATAATTAATAATAACTCGATGATTAACATGCTTAGGGTTATTTGCTAAATTTGCAATTTTCTAAAATATGTATAAGTCTAAAGATTTGAAAATAATAGATTATTTTTGAAAATGGCAAGTGCGTGCACGTATAAGCAAGATATAGAAAAGTTTGAAAAATCGAAAAATACAAGATAAGACAAAATCTAAAGAATTAGTAAAAAGATATATGGGTGGTGACAGGTGGTGGGTGGCTCTGGGACTGTCATGTCGGCTGTCTCGGGAGTGAGTAGCAGTAGCGGCGGCAGTTCCGGTCAACCCACACCCATTGCACTTGTACCCAACGTAATCGAGTCTCTCTCTAGGTTGTCCTCATCACAGGTAAATCAAATATTACAAGGTATCAGGAAGGTTCACTTATCTTCATAATAGCATTTGTGATCGCATGGATAACACGTTCAACGGATGCAAAATGCTTAGTAATTTTCATTTCATTAAAGTCACTTTTGTAAAAGAAACAAAACAAAAATGTATGTGTGGTTGGTTGCGCTTCTATGGTACAATTAATATGTGTGCATCATCTCATTATAATAATAATATATACTTATCAAATTTATATATTATGTGTATTATTATCGTTAACTTTCGCAATTACATTAAAATGAATTATAATGAAACGTATATAACTATATGTTATCAATTAAGCTAGGAGAATTTGTAACACTTTTGTTTATACGAAATACATTTCGTTACAATTAATTCTAGAAATATAATTAACGTGTAATTTGGAGTGGTATATAAACTATGTACTATTATAATGTTAACTAATCGCCAAGCAAAATGATACTAACTTGAAATTAATAGAGAATGACGTAAACGTGTGCCTTTAATAACGGGCTAATATTTTGAAGAAGAATATTATTCTAAAGACACAAAAGATATTTATATTTGTTAATCGTAAATTTTAAGATATTAGGTGATATTACAAAAAATATTTATATATTATGCAAAAATAGGGATAATTTAGAAATATCATTTGTCTGGGTATCTATAAATAAATGTAAATATTGTCTTTTTCAGAATACAACGGCCAGTACAAAAAATCCTACGGCAAAATTATTAAGTCAACCGAGTATATCTATAACTCCATTACCACGTACAACATCTCAAACCTCCATTCCTGGTTCAGGAACATCTTCTAAATCTGGAGGGAAAAATACATTCGTTATATGTGAAATTTGTGATGGTTACATTAAGGTAAATGCAAAAGAGTTCCAACAATGTTATAAGAAATAAATAAACTTTTTCATTAGTTTAAATAGAAATATCTGTTAATCTGATATTTATTTGGATAGGATCTTGAACAACTAAGAAATCACATGCAATGGATTCATAAAGTAAAAATACATCCAAAGATGATTTATAACAGACCTCCATTGAACTGCCAAAAATGTCAATTCCGATTTTTCACAGATCAGGTAACAAAATTATATATATATTCATTTGGTTTAATTATGAATTTGTTAAATACTTTCTTATCATCAATCTTGGCGGTAGGGCTTGGAAAGACATTTGCTTGGATCTCATGGACTCGTTACGTCCAGTATGCAAGAAGCAGCGAATAGAGGAAAAGATGCTGGTCGTTGTCCAGCTTGTGGCAGAGTAAGTACATTTTCACTTCTATTATTATATTACTATACATGTATATTGATGTACAAATATTAATATTAAATATTGCTCATCATTTCTAGGTATATCAATGGAAATTATTAAATCATGTTGCACGGGATCACGGAATGACATTAAAACCCGCGCATTTATCATATAAATGTACAGTTTGCACTGCCACATTTGGAATGTACAAGCAATTTGAAAATCACGTATACTCAGCACACAGCGTTGTGGCGAAAAGAGTAATGGATAAAAAGAATACCCCATCGTCTCCGTCATCAAGATCAAATGATTCCCTTTTAAAACCATTGAAGATAAACGACGAAATAACAATAATTCCACAACCAGCAAAACCAACAACTAGATCTGGTGCATCTCAAGGCAGAAGCAAATAGCAATGATCAGCAGAGTGATACGTGTGTCTTGTTTTACAGAATTTCACGTAACTCTGGATGATACGCCGTTAAAAGCGGTCACTGAAAATATTTTACAGTGAGACGTGCTGTGTACATGTGTATGCATATACTATGCTTAAGATTTGCAATTACTGAAACTAAAACTCGACTCTTGACGAAAGGAAAAAAGAAAGAAAAAACGGAAAAAAAAGAAATAAGAAAACTAGTTGACTGCGTAAAATAATATTCCATCAATGATTATACCAATATATATTTATTTAAGAATTTTTATTGTTGTTATCGGACATACATAAAAACAGACTGTAAAAACATGAAAGCGTGGCCTTCAGTCTAATTCCTTAGTTTATCCTAAAAGCTACGTATTCCCGCTTTACACAATGGACTCAATGAATGCATAAAAAAAGTATTTTGCATTCTTCGTCATGTATATCGGTACACTTTAAATAGTGAATTATTTGTAATGTATAAATTGTTTTGTAAGAGAAATATAATCGAAATGTCATTTTATTTTGTCATTGAAAATTTTCAAAGCGACGAATTATGATGATGATGATTATTATTATTAATATTATTATTATTATTATTATTATTATTATTATTATTATTATTATATCTGTTTGATCCTCTTTCTCTCTCTCTCTCTCTCTCTCTCTCTCTCTCTCTCTCTCTCTCTCTCTCTCTCTCTCTCTTTTTCTCTATTTCTTTTTAATTTAATAATTGGAATGGTAAAAATAATGAAAAAAAATATTTGTAAAACGATTTCTGAATATATCTCGAGTCAGGAATTGTAATAACTAACCAGAGTGCCCTCGGATATTCTAGAAACACCTTTGCTATACAATAAAAACTAATAATTATCATAAAATATATAATTATCATTGTTCTCTTGGAATAATAATAGATACCACGTATCTTTTGATTATAAGATCATTTAAGAATGATTATGATGACATTGATGGCGTTGACGATGACGATAAGGAAACGATGAAATTGTTATTTTTATCCATTACATAATTTATCTCTCATATTTTCATAAAATTGTGTGTATGGAATAATTTATAATGTAATTGAAGAAGAAGAAGATTTAAACACATATATACACACACACACACATACACACGTGCGCGCGTAAAATTGTAAATTGTATCTATTATTGTATAAGTTAAAGCGCTCTTCATTCTTTATATATTGTAATCAAATAATCTCCAGTCTTATTTTTTTTTGCTCTAATAAGATCTACAACAAAAAATGTACATTAACATAGGCAAATAATCTAAGCAAAATATATCAATAAAATAGGATGGCACATACATTAATGTATACATTTTTTTCTGTTAAATGATAACAAACAAAAATATGAATACAAAGTGGAGAATTGAATTTGTTAGCTTATAATACAAAACATATATCTACATTTATATATGTATACGTATAATATATCTAAAGCAATATTATATATATACATATATACATATATAAAAAAAAAGGAAAATAAAATATTTAAAAAATCACAGGAAGAGTAATTATAGCGTAGCGATAGATAGTGTGTTTGCGAGAAGAAATGATTCTCTCTTGTAATACGCTAACTCGATAAAAATAGGCTTATAATGGATATGTAGATAGTTGTTAAAGGAAAACAAAAAAGAAACAAGAGAAGTAACGGGTTTAATTTAATAATTTCAATTTAATCCTAATCATTTTTGTACGTTACAGTAGGTAATAATTTTAGATGAAAAACTGTATTCAGTAAATGAAGAAGGATACCATAAGTGCGTTTTTGCACTGTAAGGCTGTATTATTTAAACTCTGCGCTGCTTGCTTGCCATTTATATGGCACAAGCTATGTTGGTCAAACTGAGAAACATTCATAGACATAATTACAGAAATATATAGTTTACTGTAATAATTTGTACAATATTATATGATGACAAAAATAAAGTGTACCAACATTGTATTACAATCCTTTTTTTTTTGTTCTTCTGAATTTTATCAATAGCTTCAGTTGAAAATCAATACTTATAATTAGTCAATTGGCATGTTGCAATTAATGTATTTTATGTAAGTTATATGTAAATTTATGAAAAGTAGTACATATATATATATATATATATATAGCATATAGATGTTCTCGTTGTTAAAAGAAAGAGTGAAACAATTCAAATTTGAATTTACGCGCGCAAATATTTTGTAAATTAATTGGAATGAATTAACGTGAACTTAGCCAATAATTTAACAAATCATCATCTTGAATATGACAATCGATTTATCGAAAGCAATTATGTTTTTGCAAAGAATATTTAAAAGTTTATCCATTCTTTCTTAAGTATATACACGAAGTATATAGAAAACAACGTCACTTCCTGTGACGCTCTATTTATAAGAACTGTGAATTAAGAAAATTTCGAAAATCGACGTTGGCCGAATGCACTATTGAGTAATACGCAATATCTGCTAATGTAGTGCATTCCTCTATTCGCCAACTAATAATATTTGCCATTGTGTTGTTGTCTATGTTCTTAATTTAATCGTTTCTTGTTGAGTGTTTTTAAAAAAGGAAACAATGACGGATTTACCGTATCTTGTCGAATATGCTAAGAGTTCTCGTTCCTCGTGTAAAAACTGTCATTCTTCCATTATGAAAGATTCTTTAAGAATTGCTACTGTCGTGCAAGTACGTAGAATTTGGTTAAATTTTTATTTTTCCTTTGACAAAAAAAATTCAACAATTTAAAATTTAATTGAATATTAAAAATGTATCGTATGTATATATTATATTTGTCCTAATCTCTTTTCAATGAATAAGTGTATACGTCAAACTATTAATTTGTTTCATTTGCAGAGTCCGGTATTTGATGGGGCAATTACCAAGTGGTATCATCCAAACTGCTTTTTTTTAAAGCAACGTCCAAAGTCAAGCGCAGATATAGCAAATTTTGATGCTATCCGTTGGGAAGATCAACAAGATATTAAAAAAAATATAGGTTAAATGCTCTTTATTGAATTTCATTCTTTACAAAGTAATTGTAAGTGATTTTAATTTGGACATTTTGTTGGATATTTTAGAAGAAGCTGGTAAACTTCCAGCGCCGACTAAGAAAGGTAAGAAGCGTGGTAAAGGTGCAGATGTATCTTCAGACTTTTCAATAGAATATGCCAAGTCTAGTAGAGCTATGTGCAGAGGATGCGAAGAAAAAATATTAAAAGAAGAAATAAGAATTTCAAAAAAAGATTTTGAAAGCGAAGAAGCAAGAAGATATGGTGGGCTAGATAGATGGTATCATCTGCAATGTTTTATTAAGCTCAGAAAAGAACTTGAATTTTTTGATCAAGCCGATTCCCTTGCTGGTATCAAATCTTTGTCTAAAGACGATCAGGCCAATGTAAAAAAGGAATTGCCTAAAATTAGCAATGAAAATGTACCAGCTGTAAAGAAATGTAAGGAAGAACCCGAGGATATGGAAGAGGAAAATAAACTTAAAGAACAAAATAAACAAATATTTGCAATGAGAGATACTTTATCTTCGCTTAATAAGACAGAACTCATAGAGATTTTAGAAATGAACAAGCAACAAGTACCTCAAGGCGTTTCTGCGGTATGTATTAATATTGTCATTTAGTAAAGTAAAAATATAGTAATAAACTGAGTTTATTTGTTCAGATTTTGGACTTTACGTCCGACTTATTAATCTTTGGAGCTTTAAAACCATGTCCAAAATGCAAGGGGCAATTGGTATACGTTTCGGGTCTTGGTTACAAATGTACTGGAGACTTGACAGAATGGACAAAATGCGAATACGTTACTCAAGATCCTAAGAGACAGAAATGTTCTGTTCCGGAGGATTTAAAGAATACTTATAAAGCTTTGTAAGTTTGTCGCGTATGCGTTTGCGATATTACTTGTATACGTATTTACATATGTAATCTATATATTATATTAATAGGGCTTTCAAACCAAAAGTTGTTAAGAGATTGATCAAAGTTACCGCGCCATCGACGTCTAGCGCTGTTAAAAAAGAAGACGACGAAGTCGATGCTGGACCAAAAATAAAAACAAACCCAAGACCATTGAAGAACATGCAGTTTGTGATATTAGGTAGTACAGAAAAAAGCAAAGAAGTGTTAAAAAGAGAAATAGTTCTTTTAGGAGGTGCTGTGACAACAAAAATACATGAAGATTTGGCAGCCGTCATTTCTAATCCAAAAGAAATTAAAAAAATGAATAAAAAAATGGAAGACGCGAAGGTGTTGGATATACAAGTAGTTTCCGAAGATTTTGTTGAAGAAGCAAAGGACTATACAGAACTTGCAATTGCATTAATTAAAAAGAAAACTATTTCCGATTGGGGAGGTGACGTTAAAAATCGTCTTGCTAAGGTTATAGAAAAGTCGGGTTCGTCCAAAAGTAAAAGTAAATTTGAGAAATCTTCTTCTGGGAAAGTGAAATTACAAGTTAAAGGAGGTGGTACCGTCGATCTGGATAGCGGATTAGAAGATTGCGCGCATGTTTATCAAAACGGAAAAAATAAATATACCGCAACGTTAGGAATTACGGATATCCAAGCTAAGAAAAACAGTTATTACAAATTACAAATTTTGAAACACGATACACTTAGTAAATATTGGTTGTTTAGAAGTTGGGGTAGAATAGGTACTACCATCGGCGATACAAAATTGGAAGATATGCCTTTAAAAGATTGTATAGAGAAGTTTGAACAACTTTATGAAGAAAAATCTGGCAATAATTGGCATAATAGGAAACATTTTGTCAAAGTACCGCATAAATTATATCCCATTGATATAGATCAAGGAGACGTGGAAGATAACAAATTATTAGACTCTGACATAAAAAGTAATTTAGAAAAGCCTATCCAAGATCTGATGAGGCTTATATTTAATGTAGAAAACATGAGAAAAGTTATGTTGGAGTTTGAAATAGATATGGATAAAATGCCGCTTGGTAAAATATCTAAAAAACAAATTCAAAAAGCGTATTCAATATTAACAGAATTGCAAGAATTAGTTGCAACAAGTATTCCCGAACGCACTACGCTTATAGATGCATCTAATAGATTTTATACCTTGATACCACATAATTTTGGAATTTCTGGACCTAAGATATTAGAAACGGTTGAAGAAATAAAAATGAAGTGTGAAATGTTAGAAGCATTACTTGAAATGGAAATAGCATATAGTTTGCTTCACAATAATACGGACGAAAAGAAAAATCCACTAGACGCTCATTACGAACAATTGAAAACAAAGATAGAAGTATTGGATAAATCGAGTAAAGATTTTGAAGTAATTAAACAATATGTTAAGAATACACACGCGGCAACTCATAGCCATTACGAATTAGTAATCGACGATGTTTTCGTCATAAAAAGACAAGGGGAAGATCAAAGATACAAACCATTTAAAAAATTGCCCAACAAAAAATTACTTTGGCACGGATCTAGGACAACCAATTTTGCTGGAATATTGTCTCAGGGACTTAGAATAGCGCCACCAGAAGCACCCGTCACTGGTTACATGTTTGGCAAAGGTATCTACTTTGCCGATATGGTATCAAAGTCAGCCAATTATTGTTGCACCAATACCCAAAACCCGACAGGATTGTTACTGTTATGCGAAGTTGCTTTAGGCAATATGTATGAGAGGTACGAAGCAGATTACATTGCAAAATTACCAAAAGATAAACATTCCACGATGGGAAGGGGACAAACGCAACCAGATCCAAGCATCGTTCATAAAATGGATGATAGCGTAGAAGTTCCATACGGTCCTCCTGTGCAGGCTAAACTTAATAAAAAATCGGCATTGTTGTACAACGAATATATCGTATACGATACGGCTCAAGTGAAAGCTCGTTATTTAGTCAAGATGAATTTTAAATACAAAATGTAATTATTATACATTGCTATACATTCGCTATCTGATTGATATAATCGTTGGTATAACTTATTATTACATATTATTAAATCAATTTATTCCTCCAGCTACCTCCGATAGGACAAATAATAGTTAACGAACATTACATTTTCTTTTTCTTGTCCTTGTCTTACCATAATTGAATAATTATTTCATTATTTCGTACCAGTAATTTTGTATTATTTAAATGTTTGTAACACATTTCAGAAAGAAAAGAATTGAGATAAAGTTTTTGTAATAAAAATATTCATATGAAATATTAATTACAGTTATGTTTACTTTTTTTTCAAATAATTTAATTAATATTCAAAATGGAAATCGAAATAGGATTGATCGAATGTATTAATACGAATATAACCATCTTCTCCTCCGGTCGACATACTCTTGCCATTGGGATGGAATGCTAAAGAATTGATTGGACCAAAGTGACCCTTTAAACGTGCGAATTCTTCTTCAAATACAAGATGGAAGAAACGAGAATCGAATTTTCCTTGTCTAGCCGACGTAGTTGTTACATCCATAGCGTCTTGACCACCACCTAAGACTACCTATAATCAAAATATTAATAAAATTATTAACATTTCAATGCTGCAATTTCATTTTCAAGAAGAAATTGGAAATAAAACTTACATGATCCAGAATTGGAGATATCGTAGCAGAGTTGACTGGTCTCTCTGTTTTATAAGTTTTCAATAGAACCAACGATTCACTGTCAAATAATTTAGCCATATTATCTTTGGATGCAGTGACAAACATAGTTCCATCTTTATTAAATTGCATATCATTGATTTGAGATTTGTGACCTTTAGTACTGGTCAACTTTTTCCCCATCTGTTTAAGAACATTAGTTATTTCGTTTCAATCGAATATATATCATAAGAAAGAAATTTTATATAAAAACGACATACTCTCACGTCCCAAAGAGTAATTTCACCATCTTCGTGACCTGTAATTATGGTTTCGTCCAAGGCACCCCACAATATAGCAGAAATCCTTGGTCCAGGAACAGAGATCCTAGATATTGCATGTTCTTGCGACATGTTAGTATCGACATTTCTAATGTCCATTATAAACATTTCACACTGATGACCTAAAGCTTTATCGGTAGAATAAACGGCGAGATTTGAGGAATAACTGAAACCGCATGTTCTTACAGAGCTATTTGTTTCCAGTTGTCCAATTTCTTTTCCTAAAAAAAAAAAACATTCAATATTATTTTACAGTAGCAATTTAAATCGATCTAGAGGAAAACGATAAGAAGAAAGAAAAAAATGGATACAAACCAGTTTCACAGTCCCATACTCTTAATGTATTATCACCACTTCCAGATAAAAATCTAGTTGTATCCCAATTAACATCTATACACCATACCGAACCATTATGTCCATTAAAAGTTCCAAGACGTTCTCCGTTCAAAGAATACCACACATTTGGTTTCTTATCCTTGCTAGCAGAGAAAACTAAATCACCTTCTCTGTTATATTTTATTTTAGTAATGGCACGTTCGTGTCCATGCAACATTAGCGGTTTCTGAAAAAAATTTTGAATATCAAGCTAATATCCAAAATAATAAGACTCTATAATCTATATAAAATAAATTATTTGATATTCCTTATTAATAATTGCAATAATACATATAATTGAGTTAAACTTCATACATATATAATGTTATATGATTTAGAAACATAAAGCGGGCTAATATACCGTTTATATGTATAAACTTTATATAAGTATACGAGTTTCTAAGAAATTAAACTCAGTTACACGTGTATATATTCAATTCTTTACCCGTTAATAACCTTGTAAACGTTATTAACATGTAATATTGAATATTATGTACACATGCGCAAAATATATAAAAACAAATAATATATTAAAAGCATATTTGTTAACTTCTTCATATATTGAAAATAACTAACCATATTTATAGGTAGAAATTTTTTTTTATGGAAAAAAATGAATCTCTAACGTCGCTTCTAAAATCACGTTTAACGACACTTAATATCGTCACTGGGAATAAACCATGAAGTATAAAATCATTAGTTTCCTTTACTTTATTATAAGGAATAGACTTGAAAACATTTCTTCTCTATACTGTTTAAAAAGCACGACGAGCCAATCATAATTTCTTTAGATTATGCCATTTTCCAACGACATTTAACAGAAAATAACCAATCAACCAACCAAGCTCATAGGAATTTTCTTGCCATTTTTTTAATGTATTATCTATGCAATGGAAATGTGAGTAAATATATCTCCTCTCCAATTCTATAAGAAATTCTTTTTTATTTACATACTGTTTTTATAATTATAACATAGTTATAGTACTATTCATTTCTTAAGGTTGGCAATGAAAATTTAAAAATGGTGGATTCCCTGACGTTCAAAAAAATAGTCGTTCGTTATCGCGTACTCTGCTATAAGTTAATTATTATTTAATTATAAGAGTATATATAGTTTATAAAAAAATGAATGTTAACACGTAATTATGCCAAATTATTTTTTCACAATTAAATTAAAAATGAACATTATTAAATTATGTTGATAATATTTGTAAAAGACCCTCGTCATTAAACAAAATGGAATTATCGATATAATTACCTTAAATGTATTTGTATCTCTACACTTTTAGTATGTTTGTCTATTTAATAAATCTGTTTTATATACAGACTCAGATAAATGTCGATCTACAGTTGCAGCTGTGCAAACAGCTGAAAGTAAAGAGATTTCTATGTTGTTACTATTAAAGATACTGTCGGTTATTAACTATATTTAAATAGGTCGCGCCACTTCCTGGTAAGTCATTTTTTTCCTTTTAGAAATTTGAAATTTTGAAAAACTTTCATATTTTTCTCGTAAATTGATTTCTTAAGCAGGCTCATGGATGTGCAAACAGGCGGTATCACTGTACTCATTACATATGTAATTAATTATTTTGTATCTTGACATAAAATTAATTTGCATAATTAATTGATATAAATTTTTTGCCTCACAAAAATTTATTTGTATATCAAATTGAATACGTATTTGAAAAAGAAGAATTTTCTATCTACAMATAAAATTAATTCAAGATATACAGGAAAAGATATACTAAAAACGTCGAATTTATTTTTTGTCTAGACATAATTTTAATTCATTTTTATTATGTTATAAGAAAACATAAATGCATTTTTATTCAGCTTCAAAGTCATCAAAATTGTAAGAGAAAAATTAAACTTTAATCTAGTGGCACGCTAGCCAGCTCCGCGGGGGAAACATTTTTTTTTTGAAGTTTTTCTATCCTTAAGTTATACAAATTCTGTTTACATTTCTTAATTTTATAATATCAAGGAAGGTATTTGGCAATTCAAAAGTTTCCTATTCGGCTCTTATTGACTTGCCTATAAATATTAATACAAATAATTTAATAGTGCAAATTATCATTGAGTAAATAGAAATTGAGATTATACGCAAGGCTTATCATTGATATAAAAACAAGTGGTAGATCGAAAAAAAAGAGAATTCATACTATATGCAATAGAATATATTAAACATGTCTTTTATAAACGTTAACGAAATAAAGATTTACGAGAACCAAGTCAAAGAGCATGATATTTTAAAACAAATCATTGCTACTCGTGATCAAGAAGATGCATTTTACATATTAGATCTCGGTGATGTCATTAAAAAGCATAGAAATTGGCTGAAAAAAATGCCAAGAGTTGTGCCACACTTTGGTAAGGCTTAAAAACATATTTTTTTTCACTTATTCTTTAACATTACGACAATCTTTTATTTTTAGCTGTAAAATGTAATCCTGATCCAATGGTGATTAAGATTTTAGCTGCTATGAACGCGAGTTTCGATTGCGCCTCGCAGGTAATCGTTTTATTTTTTCTAWATATAACATATATTCTATTCTTTACATTTTTCTATGCAACAATATTACATCAGTCATTTATTGTTGTAGCAAGAAATTGAACAAGTTATGCAGTATGGTGTAACACCGGATAAAATAATCTTTGCAAATCCAACAAAGTCTCCATCYCATATCAAATTTGCCAAAAGCGTTGGCGTGGATAAAATGACAGTTGACAACGAATTAGAGCTTTTTAAAATAAAGAATCTGTTTCCTGAAGCAAAGTAAGTTAATTGAACTTTATATTCTTATGTCGTTTTTTACATCGAATCAAGAATTCATTGAAGTGTTATTATTAACAGAATAATTATTCGCTTTCGATGCGATGGTAATTCTAATCACCCTCGATTTATCAGCCTTGGAGTCAAATTTGGGTGCGATCCAGGCGACGAAGCAAACAAATTAATACAATTTAGCAAGAATTTAGGTTTAACTTTACACGGATTTAGTTTTCACGTTGGTAGCTCATGTTACGATTTCAAAGCGTACGCGTGTGGAATTGAAATATGCAAGAAATTGATTACTTTCGCTAAATCGATAGGATGTAAAGATATCAAATTAGTAGATATCGGCGGTGGCTTTCCAGGAGAAATTGAGTTTCAAATCGACGAGGTCTGTTTAATATATGTATTTATATATAAATTTATTTGTAATAGATATATATGATTAATTGTCTTCTTATTTTTATAGCTTTCTCATATAATTAATGATGCTATTGAAGAAATAGATCCTAACATACAAGTCATAAGCGAACCAGGTAGATATTACGTGGCATCAGCGTTTACTTTGGCTTCTTACTTACATTCTAAGAAAACTATGTTAGAGGAAAAGGGTCTAAGACATGCGTACTACGTTAATTGCGGAGTGTATACTGGGTTTATAGAAGAATTATTGAATTTGAATTCGCGGCATCCAATTTCATTATTCAATGTATATAATTATTATGTTTTTTGAGAATGATTCTATTTATATTTGTATAGAAGGTTTGAAGAAAATTTGTTGCAGCAGCCTGTATCCGATAAAAAATATTCTTCCACTTTATGGGGACAGACTTGCGATTCCTACGACTGTATCATCAAAGATGGGTTATTACCAGAATTTCAAATAGGAGATTGGCTTGTATGGAGCAACATGGGTGCATACACAATTTCTCTATCTTCTACATTTAATGGTTTTATGCTGCCACAAGTTCATCCTTTTATCAGAAAAAGTCAATGGTATCTATATGTACATGTAATATTATATAACAGGGTGATCCAATAACTATACATACTTCAAATGTCTCAGTTAGTTTAAATTTTTTTCGGGGAAAAATGCTCAAAAAAAGCGTGTTTGTGTTAAAAAATATAGAATACTTTCTCCCATTAAGACGTGTACCTTTAAATAGTGTAACGTAACTAATAACGTAAATCATGTCCTGAACATTTTTCCTCCAAAAAAACAAAAATAAGAAAAATATTAGAGAGAGAGAGAGAGAGAGAGAGAGAGATGGTAATATAATAAAATAATTTATTTTCAGGCAAGATTTTTGTGCCATTATCAGATGCGACGTTAACAATTGATTGTACAAATTGTTCGTATAGATTTGAAAAGAAGATATGAATTTCGATGAGAAAAGCAATCTTGAATTTATCATACTTTTAATATGTACCACGGCAACTCTTATCTAATGAATTTATGTATTTGAATCATTTAAGTATATATGTTTTTTTTTAAATTTGTAATCTACATTTTCTAAAAGTAATAAACGTTCTTTATTGCTCGTCTTCACTTGATGTATTTTTCCTGGTAGACATTAAATATATGTAATGCAATATTAATGACTGACTATACTAGAAACTAACATGTCGTATTATCATTAAATGAAATAACATTTTATTTAATCTATAACAAATAATGCTTATTAGTTATTTATAAAGGTAAGTGGCTCGTTACAACAATAGCGTAAATTTTAAAGAATGATTTGCATTAATTAGCTTCGTTTAGAACTTCCAAGTACTATTTACTATTTCAATTATGTTAGTTAATAGTACGTTTTCGAAGGACATCTATTTTGTGTTTTTAAATAATACGTTGTATTAATAATTAAAGGTAATTGTCCGTTCTTTCACCGATAGCACATCTTGTTAGCACTTATACCAGTTTATAAGTCACCGACTCGTTCAAACTAAGGACGTATATCATTTCACATAATATGTGAAAAATGTCTTTCATTAACATCAACGAAATAAAGATTTACGAAGACCAAGTCAAAGAGTATGATATTTTAAAACAAATTATTGCTACTCGTGATCAAGAAGATGCATTTTACATATTAGATCTCGGTGATGTCATTAAAAAGCATAGAAATTGGCTGAAAAAAATGCCAAGAGTTGTGCCACACTTTGGTAAGGCTTAAAAACATATTTTTTTTCACTTATTCTTTAACATTACGACAATCTTTTATTTTTAGCTGTAAAATGTAATCCTGATCCAATGGTGATTAAGATTTTAGCTGCTATGAACGCGAGTTTCGATTGCGCCTCGCAGGTAATCGTTTTATTTTTTCTATATATAACATATATTCTATTCTTTACATTTTTCTATGCAACAATATTACATCAGTCATTTATTGTTGTAGCAAGAAATTGAACAAGTTATGCAGTATGGTGTAACACCGGATAAAATAATCTTTGCAAATCCAACAAAGTCTCCATCTCATATCAAATTTGCCAAAAGCGTTGGCGTGGATAAAATGACAGTTGATAACGAATTAGAACTTTTGAAAATAAAGAATCTGTTTCCTGAAGCAAAGTAAGTTAATTGAACTTTATATTCTTATGTCGTTTTTTACATCGAATCAAGAATTCATTGAAGTGTTATTATTAACAGAATAATTATTCGCTTTCGATGCGACAGTAACTCTAATCTCACCCAATTTATAAATCTTGGAATCAAATTTGGGTGCGATCCAGGCGACGAAGCAAACAAATTAATACAATTTAGCAAGAATTTAGGTTTAACTTTACACGGATTTAGTTTTCATGTTGGTAGCCCATGTAACGATTTCAATGCGTACACGTATGGAATTGAAATATGTAAGCAATTGATTACTTTCGCTAAATCGATAGGATGTAAAGATATCAAATTAGTAGATATCGGCGGTGGCTTTCCAGGAGAAAGTGAGTTTCAAATCGACGAGGTCTGTTTAATATATGTATTTATGTATAAATTTATATGTAAAATATATATGATTAATCGTGTTCTTATTTTTATAGCTTTCAAATGTGATTAATGAAGCAATAGAAAAATTAGATCCTGGTATAGAAGTTATGAGCGAACCAGGTAGATATTACGTGGCATCAGCATTTACTTTAACTTCTTACTTACATTCTAAAAGAAGTATAACCGATGAAAATGGTCCGAGATATATGTATTTTGCTAATTGCGGAGTATATAGTGGATTTATAGAAGAATTGTTGAACTTATGCTCGCGTCATCCAATTTCACTGTTCGGTGTATGTAATTGATATATACTCTATTGAACATTATTTCGTTTATTTTTAATGTCTATCTAAAGGTGCATCATAGTAGATTAATCGATTGCAGCCTGTATCCGATAAAAAGTATCCTTCCACTTTATGGGGACCGACTCTTGATTCTTACGACTGTATCATCAAAGATGCGTTATTACCAGAATTTCAAATAGGAGATTGGCTTGTTTGGAGCAACATGGGTGCATACACTGCTTCCTTAGCTTTCAAATTTAACGGATTTGAACCACCAGTAGTTTATCCATTTATCAGAAAAAGTCAATGGTTAATATAAATATAATAGATTTTTATTTTTTAAATATTATAATATCATATCATAAATAATGTTTTTTCAGGAAAGAGTTTTGTGACATTACCAGATATAACATGAACTGTTGGCTGTGTAAATTGGAATAAGCGAGAAGCCTAATATTTCTAATATAATGCAAGAATGTACCATATATTAAAAACACTTATTAATTGTATCTGTCTTGTTAAATTCGAAAATATACATTTTCTTTTTCCTAATAATATTATTGAGTCGGTTTAGGTGGCACAGTAGAATTGTCAATATTCGTAGAAAATATCTCATTCCATCTGTAAAGAGAAAAAAGAAGAAGAAAAAATTGGTATGAAAATAGTTTTCTATAAACGACAAATCGAAGCAAACTTAAAACTTATTTACTCTTTTGCAGTTTGACATGATCCTGGTTCAAGTCCAGCATTCTTTTGCGCTTCGAACAAATCTTGTGCATTTATAATATCTTCGATTGGCGGAATCGACGACATTGAATTACGTACCTTTTTTCAAAGACAATAATTCATATTTCATTTAACGGAAGACAAGAATGAAAATCTTTATAATATAATATTTAACGAATATTAATTATCATACCATTTCTACTTTTGTCATAACTCTGATAAAATTTTTTCCAGCTAATTTTTCCAAATCTTCTCTACTCCATTCCGGCTCTCCTTCATGATGTCCATACAAACGTTCAAACAAGGAAGGGTACTTTGATACGTCTTCTAAGCCTTCAGGTACTCTGAAAATATTTCAAATATCATTATATCATTTATAAGTAATCATTATTATATATCGTATATTATGATATATTATTTACTGACGCATTTACGCCATCATAATCGGCGCCTATACCCACGTAATTTACTCCAACGATTTTTCTAATATAATTAATATGATCTGAAAAAGAAGTAAAATTGATCATGAAATTTGATTGGTGAAAATGACGTTTATATTATTCTTTTTTTAAAATATATATCCTACCTACGACGTCTTGCATAGATGCATTTCTGGATGTATTGCAATTAACAAATTGCGAGTAAAAATTCACCATAACGATACCTTCATTTTCCCCCTGTTGATAAAGTAGAAAATGATTGAATACGAATAATAAAGTATATATATACAGTCAAACCTCCTATAACACGGCACTCGCAGATCGCGATTTCCATATAACGCGGTGCTGAAATTGCGACAGCCCTCCTCTACTCTTACAGCGCGGTTTCCGTTCAAGAACATCCCATAACATAAGTTCCTTAGTCACCTGATCAGATTTTTAACGCCGATGAAACGGCACTATATTGGAAAAAACTACCATCTAGGACCTTCATTTGGAAAAATCAAAGGCGTGCTCAGGGGTTTAAATCTTCAAAAGAACGTATCACCCTTCATGTGTGCAGCAATCTATCAGGGAGCCTGATGATAAAACCAATGCTAATAAATCTGAGTTTCTTATAGCGCTGTTTCCATACAACGCGGTAGACGGTTTCCATAGAACGCGGAGCGCACTTACCGCGTTAAAGGAGGTTTGACTGTATCTGTACTTTGTAACATTATTTAATCATTAGAAAGTGACTGACTTACAACCAAGCGCAGGACGTCGTCGGGAACATTTCGATAATTATTACAAATACCAAATGCAGAGGAATGAGAAAATATAACGGGTGCTCTCGAAATAGTAAGAACTTGTCTCATAACATTGTGAGAAACGTGTGAGAGATCGATTAACATACCAAGACGATTCATTTCGTGAACGAATGTCTAAAAAACAATTGATTGTGTACACGTTACTATCTATTGAATTTCTTATGGCAAACAAATACTCATCATACTTTTCCAAATTCTGTTAGATTGTATAGATATCCGTCGTTAATGGGCGATGCATCAGCCCTAAGAGACAATAAATCCGATCATTATATATAGAAAGGTATGATCTGTTGAGACTTACCAGGGTGTATGACAAGTATGCGTTAACGTGACGTAACGAACTCCCAATTCATAATAAATCCTCAAAATAGCCAAACTGGAGTCTAAAGAGTGACCACCCTCAACCCCGATCATCGATGCAATTCGACCACTTCTCCAAACAACTTCAATATCTTTGGCATATTTAACAAATTGCAAATGTTCTGGATAAAGATCTATGAATCTCTTGATCACGTCTATTTGCCGAAGCGTCAATTGTACCGCATCTTTATATTGAGAATTACACGGTACGTATGCAACCCAAAACTATTATAATGAGATAATAGTAAGTTAGTTAAACTATTATATTTGAATGAATTCATTAATGAATAATATTACTCACTTGCCCACCAACTTTTCCAGCTTTTAAACGAGGTAAATCCGTGTAACACGTTGGACATGCTTCTCTTCCCCAAACTGGATCATTAACGAGTAATTTTTCAAATGGGAATTCTTTTAAATTGTTATTTAATTTCTCGTACAAATTAAATGGTAAATCGTTGTGTCTAAAAGAATATTTATCAATAAATTCAATCGTAGAATATCGATCGAGATGATACGTACCCATCGATAAGAGGTGCCAAATCTAATACATCGCTACCTTTCAATTTATTTGCATTTAATCCAACGGATAAGCCAATAATCAATAATAAAATTGATAAACAAACTGCTACGTTAATATACAACATTCTTCCGGTCAAATATTTGGAGATGAAATTTTCTACAAAATAATTGTTATATATTATAAATAATATATAATTGCAAGTGGCGGGGGATGAGATTCGTTAAAAAACGATTTAACACCGATTACTGTGTCTCTAATTAAACTGATTACGATGTAGATTATATATATTTGAAGAAAAATATCATTATGTATGATGAGATATATATATATGTACGTGGATCGATAGTAATTGCGAGATGCAAACTTATACCCCGATTGTACTTCATTTTATGTTAACAAAAAATAGTAGTTACGATTAATTATAATTAAATCACCCATTATTAACACATTCCAAGTGAAACCAGTTGAGAAATTGACTGAATAACCAGTTGAGAGATAACTCGCACAAATAACAGTTCGATATGTATCCTTCTTTATCTCCTCTGTCGGAATTCTGTTAGAGTGTATATACTTGGTGTTAATAGACTCTATGTACATATATACTGGGTAATCGCAATAATGTTCTTTATGATTGCTTCATCGATTTATGAACGCAAATAAATAAATAAATCTGAGAAGAAGGAAGATTTACGTATTGAAGCAACGGGCTGCGTCCAGTACACCCCCACCTATAGCATATGTAATTTAGTTAAGTCTCAATTATTAAGAGTACAATTATTGTAGCTAGTAGTGCCTATTGTGAATTTATTTTATACATATCGCGAGCTCGGATGTTTTTCAAACTTTTCGCATTTGTAGGAGGGGATTATTCATTGCACTTCAGACGTTAAATGACTGGCATTTTACGCAAACTCGTTTCATTTTATCTAATTTTTATTGCTATTGTAAATGAAGGAGATATTCATTGTGGACGGAGTTATTGCCGTACATTGTTTGCATAACTTACTGTTAATCTTTTTTCTTAATCTCATACTCTTTTTGCACATATATATTTATCATGCAGTAATGTAATTTGCCGGATATACTATATATATATATATATATATGTAGGCAAATGTAATTACTTACGGAACTTGCTCCTTCTTCTTCTTCTTTGTTTGATAAATACAAGATGCGATCGAAACGGCTACTGACAATGAGTGAGGCCATTTGAATTATAACTATTGAATTTGCCTAATCGCAAAGGGAGTTGAAAGATAAAATATTGATATATTTATCTTCAAATAAATAAATTGAAGATACGTTATCGATTATACGCGTGCTTAAAATGAAGTAAGAGTGTGAGTGAAGTTATCGATAATAGTTTATCGACTATTATCGATATTATAGGAAACTTATATATCTACAGATTTAATATCTATAATAGGTGCGAGAGGGAGACTTCGTTCCCTCTAGTTCATTTTTTGCCCAAACGGGTTGTAAACAGTGGTAAAAAAATAATGGCTATGGATACCGTATACAAACATTTAAAAATTCGAAACAGACCTTACAGCGTGAACGATATAGTGTTGAATTTACATAACGAATTTGGAAAGTCTGCCGTTCAAAAAGCTATAGATCACTTACTCGCGGAAGGAAAGATTTTTGAAAAAGTAAGTAGAAATAAATATAACATTTTAGACACATCTCTCGCAGAGCATTTAGAGCATACTCTTACACACAAATATAATAGTATAATATTTGAATATTTCTTATATTTCATTAGGTATATGGAAAGCAAAAAGTTTATTGCGTCGTTCAAGACTCGACCAAGGATATAGAAGAATTAATGAGAATCGATAAGGAATTACAAGTGCATGCAAACGAAGTAGAAACTAGGTATCAAGATCTTGAGAAAAAGATAAAAACTCAAGAAACTTTGTTGACATCATTAAAGTCATCTGTCACTCTCGAAGAAGCACGCCGAGAAAAAGTCTTGCTCGAAGAAAGTATTGAAGTTTTAGCCAACAAGTTAGATATACTTCTCGCATCTACCGGAAGTACGGATTTAACCGAAACGAAAAGAAAAACGGAATCTTCCTTAGACGAATATTCTCGTGAATATCTTAAACGTAAAAGATTATGTACAGAATTAATAGACTGCATTCTGGAAAATTATCCTGGTACTAAAAGTGAATTATACGATGAAATAGGTATAGATCCAATGATTATTAAGTAATAAGACTAATCAAATATAATTATATTTTTTGTTATCATGGGGGATAAGGATACAAAGGCACGACAATTCATTGTGTGCTCTTAAAGCGTCATCTTCCATTAGCCAAATAATTTGACAATCTGTTGAAGCTTAAATAATGGGTCGAAATGTTTAGACCAGGATTTTTTATCGTTGGATTTCATATAAGATCCTTCCAGGACGCATTTACCGTTGAGACAAAACTGAAAAGAACAAATAATTAATTATAAGAAACTAATTAGTCTAATGTGTTATACACTTACAACTCCATTTCCGCAAGGAGAACCTTCGGCTGCTGGAGCTATAGCTGTACACGCTCTCATAGTTCCTGGTACTAGACAATCTAATCTAATGCAGGCAGTATGATCGGTCTAAAAAAATATCAATATTCGAATGTATTTAACTAGTTATGCTCATATCTATATACATATATTTTTGACAACTTACATTACACGCTCTTGTTCCTTGTCCGTGCACTTTTTTACATTGATAATCGAGCGACATTAATTTGCCAGGTAGAATTCGTGGTAACGCACGACCTCTGACGGGTTTATTATAAAGACATTTTGCTCTTTCTTCGCTGTAATAATAATACTCTTAGATATGTTACGAATAGGATATGAAATGTAAAATAGGAAAGCTTACTTAAGGAATGTATAAAATGCTTGTATAGAACAGTTGGACCATTGAAATCCATTTTCATTGAGCAACAGTCCACTGGTCATGATGAAGCCGTCATCCGCCGAACAATTGGTAGCGTATTTTGGATTACCGTCGTGTCTGGCTCCGATTCTACACAATTGTTATAATACTTTCTTCATAATTTAGAAATATATTATAAGATTTTTCACAAAGATAGTAACGTACAGATGGCCAACTTCATGAGCAGCTGGTATAATTCCGCTGAAACCACCATTGTCTTCTACGATACCAGCCATTTCGGAAGTTTTGTTATCGTCTTGTCTGTTACATGCTCCTGATACGTATGCGTAACCTGTAGAAATAAATACATCCAAAGAAAATGTTGAATATTTAAAATAACGTAGAGATACGAACAAGCTTACTTACCTAAGGTCGAATCATCGCAATAATCATCAAACATGTTGCATATATCTAATCTGAAAAAGGGTCAATATTTGTGTTTGTTCATTCATATATTTCTTATTTATTCGTTTTATTTTCTGTGCATATGTCTGTCTATATGTTACGGTCAATGTACTACGATCGCGAACGACGACGATAATTTGTCATCAAAATATACGCCATATCGCAACGATTCTTTTTCTTCTTCTTCTTCTTCTTCTTCTGATTTGGATGTACGCTAGTTAATAAGGAAGAAGTAGGTGATTATGATTTGAACACGTCCATCTCTATTTTTCTCTCTTGCCCGGAATATATACATTGATCGTAACATATATAAGTTCTTACTGCGTCATAGTGATCGCTATGTCAAAGAAACCAATTGGAAATCTTGTCTCTCGATAAATATAATCTCCCATTTCGCGTAAGGCTTTATCAACGTCTACCAGAAGCGATTCGTTTCCTAATCGATTTTTTTCCATGTACGGAGTTGCATTGTTATCCTGAAATGAAATATATTGAATAAATTGAATATATCTATTTAAAATTTGGAAAAGAAAATGTAGCTCACCAAGGCTATAACTATACCGGCAATGTTGAATCGAATCCTTGGATTATTTAATAATCTGTATCTTAAATCGACCCCGTTCCAAAATGAAAGAATGTATCTCATAGCGTGTTTCACGTTTCTGCCAACCAATCTGAACAGTTTTCAAGCTTATTAGTAGTTTCGTTATACATATATAGGTATAATTAAATTCATTGAAAGAAATCATATTTTCCTTACGCATATTCGCTGTTGTCCATTATGATTAAAACTTCGGGATAGATAACATCTGGTACATTACGCTTTTCTTTGACTATTCTATCGTATTTCTTTGAATTTGTTAATTCTACAAATGTTATATTATAAAAATAAATCGATCGGATTGTTAGAATTGACGGTATTTAGTGATTGACGTTCAATTTGGAACTTACTGAAATCCTTATATTTTTTTTTCTTCGTTTCCGGTACTCGATAAATAACGTGATGATAAGTATAAGCGAGCTCGTCATTTTCAGTTACATTTTCAGTATGACGAGGCTCGTATAAATTATCTCCGTTGTAAAGTATGCCTTTTAAAATTCGTTCAGGTATAGATCGAATGATCGTATTGGTAACACCAATAATTCCGTCCTCGAAAGAAAATTTCATCGAATATTTCATTGTTATTCTTTTATATATATATATATACTGTATAGCGTATAGTTGTTACTTACGAGCACCAATCTTTTATTAGCATCCAACTTCATCAGTATCGACGCCGTGTTATTCATATCGTGAAATGTATTACCTAGATTTCGCATGGCCTGCAAGAGATGTCGAAAATATTTCATATTTCATTGATAAGTCAAGAAGAATGTCTACTTACGTTCGGTATTAGAGTATATTTCAATCCTTCAGGATAATCTGGATCGGAGGACACAGTCCAAACAGGGGTGTGTGTGCTGGCAAGTATTCCCTCCGTAGGATTTAGATACAATTTAATGTTTTGATCGAATGCTTTTAATTGTATTTCTTGACTATTCTCTAAACTTCTTCGGTGGGCGGTGTGTTTTATTGGAACGACCTCGTAATGTGGTACTGTAGTTCATTTATTACTTCTATTAACAATGTTTCTTTCTTTTTTTTCGAGTTAAGCTGAAAAATATTCAAATACCTTGTTCGTGATTCGTGTGAAAAACTCCCATTACTTCTTCCGATGTCATGTATTCGTGAAGCTTAAAATTCAAACCAAACGATTGATTACAGATTGCATTCAATTTTTAAAAGAAGTTATTTAAAAATATGAAATAAATACTTTTTTACATTGTACGAAAGACACAGTTATCGTACATAACAAAATCATTTTCCGAAACATGATCGTGCCCACAAAAAATTCCTAAATTATTATAATTAATTTGATTTTGTTAAGGTATTATTGGTGAAGTCGGTGAGATGCTAATGGTACAGCTCCTTGGCGAATGAGAACGTGCTACTTTGAGGTAACGCCTCGGAAAAACGTTCAAGATTTATCAACATCCGTGTTTATATAAAAATGGGATAAGAAATATTTGTAATTTGTGTATTTGGTAATTATAAGAAGAGGGAAAAAGAATAAACACTTGTTCATATAACGCTCATATAACGTTCATCAAATCGTACTTGCTAACGGGCAGAATCGATGATAGATTAGAATAAAACGAGGTAATAAATTGCTAAGATACTGTGTAAACACGATTATGTTCAAAAATATGATTATAATGATCGAATTACGAATTACATTATTATTTATGATTTCGAAAAACGTAAGCCAAAACAAAGGTGTGTTCTTTGCATAACGTCGATGACATTTGTTTTCATTGATTTAGATGAATTTCAATCGATTCGAATATGTCTTATCGTCAATTTCAACTACTCGCAACCAGATGCGTAATAATTTACTCAAATGTACTTCGTGTAAAGTGTTTATTATTTTCTTTACACGCTTACATTCTTTGTTTTAAAGAAAAAAGTACGTGTTTAGTATGATACACGAAAGAAGAATCCGAGATGGTCGTTATTACTAATCGTTTATACGACCGATCTTTCGAAACGGTCTCGCTTTAAACATTAATTTATTTATAAACAATACACAATATATGCGGACCTGCCTCGAATATCTTAAGAAGGAAGACACAAAACGCTCGATACGAAGTATATATCGTACATGTACAATTTTTCTTTCATATCGCAGAGGAATCTTTCGCATAATCTCTTATCCTAGACCGCTGCTTATATTAATATTAATATTAATATTAATAATATAATAATAATAATAATAATAATAATAATAAGAGATAAAAATTACACAATTAATAATAATAATAGAATTAAAATTAATAATAAATATCCAGCCAAGAGGGTAAAAGATCGAAAGGCAGTAAACGTTTATTTGTATTCACGTAAAAAGAAGAGAGGAAAATGATCTACAGAAAAATCAGGTAAAATCGATCCTCTGCTAGATCATGCTGAAAGAATCCTCGAGATCTGTAAGGAAATTGAAATGAAAAAAAAAGAGAGCTTTCTTTTCTCGATTTTTGTTCTTTCTTTTTTCCGACGTAGTCATAAATTTGTGTTCAATTTTCTCGAAAATATCCATGGGAGTTTTTAAGGGCAGATAGTTTCCAAGGACGCACAGCAACGGCTTTTTACAGATTGCAGATGGCACAGCCATGTTCCCAGCCTGTCAATCAGATCCAAGCAGTCGGGTCCTACGTCCGTGCACTCCTCATCGTCCTCTGTTTCTAACAATAATTACATTTTATTACTAATTTTCTAATCAAAAGGTTAGCGTGCGTGTGTCAGAGCGAGAGAGAGAGAGAGAGAGAGAGAGAGAGAGAGAGAGAAAGAAAGAGAACGAGAGCAAGAGAGAGAGAGAGAGAGAGAGAAATATGATTAATTTTCTGCAAATACATGATTATTCCCTCCTAGAATTAGAATTAGAATTAAAACAGTAACAGGCAGTTATATAAAGACTTTGGTTAAATTAGTATAATATATATTAAATTAAGTAGTAATAGGAAATATGGGTATGTATCTGTGTCATTTGTAATTGTGAAAGTATGTAATGTATAAATCAAATCTTATCGATATTTGTATTAGTCGTTCATCCAGTTTACGTAGAAAGACATTCTCTCTGCTTTAATAGCGAATTGTATGAAGATCGTGAAGAAGATGTAAAATGATCGAGCTTATGGTCCGCATTTCTGCTCATGATTGATTACACGTTTAGTTATAACGTATATATTAAAGATACATTTTTTCAAATCCTTTTTCCATGGTTAAAATTTTATCTCGTTTAAAAATAAGATACCAAAAGAACCACGAGAAGTGATCACATAGATATAGAAATAATGAGAAACATAGATTTCAATATTAGAAAGACGAACGAAAGATAGAAAGAATTGAATTTTGTTTTCTTGTTGTCACACAGAATTCTCTTACCACGACTACCATTTTGTTGGCCATTTTGGAGGCCATTTTGAAGAACCAAAGTCGTCGGAGAAAATGACGTCACACTTGGCGTGGTCTTATGTTTGAACGGTATAATTTTCGGATAATTAACGTCGTTTGGATTATTGACAACTTTTGGCGTAGAATTGACGTTGTAATGGAAATTAAAATGATATCTGTTGCTTTTCTTGCTAGTCGTCGTAGTGCTTCGATTAACACTATTGCTGGTTTTTCCATAATTGTTACTGTTATTGTTATGATTATTTGTAATTTTATCATTAATGGCAAGTAGATTGTTGGCAGTCGTGTACGTGTATTTGTATACCGTTGATGTAGGTGTAAATTGACGTTTAACGTTTGTGGTTGTGGTTGTTGTTGTACTTGACGCCAATAAATTTGGAGTTATGTACGGAGAATATTTATTTTTAGATTTTGGTGATGTATATGTTGTTCCTTCCCATGGATACCTGTGTGGAATATTATTTCAATGTTACTCCATTAACCCTTTAAATGCATCCGCAATTTGTCCTTGCATTATAGATAGACGTACTAGTAAACTAGCAAATTGGGAAATTATGATTTAAAGGGTTAAATTACCTTCGATAAGTTGATTATAGTGATGATTATATAAGTGATAAATATTTGTACAAAGAGCAAAGTTACCTGTAATCCGTGCTATTATATTGTGCATATATTGGCCTGTTGTTTGCAGGGGGTCCAAAAGTACCGTCTCGGCGTACATACGTTGGAATATTTTGCGTGTAATCGGGTATTATATTTTCATGTTCGGCGACGCATTTCCCATTAAGACAATACTGAAAATCAATATAAAAATATGAATTATATATTTTTTCTTCGCGTTTCTGTATGTTTTTGTCTTACCTGACCGTCGCCACATGGAGAACCTTCGGCTGCGGGACGATATGCCACGCAATAACCGGAGCCAGCGTCGAAGCAGAATAATTGTGCACAAACTCTATCGTCTTTCTGGTCCCACCCCCCAACAAGAAATCAAATTTATCGTATAGAATATGTGCATACGTTGCGCATATGTTTCCAGATTACTTGAAAAATCACTTAGAAAATATTTTCATTGTTGTTACTTACGAAACAGGCACTAGTTCCCCGATCTTTACGGCACTGAGCATCCAACGAGAGCAATTTGCCTGGTAAGACTCTGGGTAGTGCTTCGTCTTCGTGAGGTGCATTGTACAAACACGTTGCAGTGTCCCCGCTGAAAAAAAAAACATCAACGTATCAATACTCAGTATTTATTAGTTCCTACGTAGAAATATGACGTACTTGAGAAAATGATGGAAGGACGAGACGCTGCAGTGAGACCATTTGAATCCCTTTTCGGTATGTCTGAGATCGCTCATGATATAACCATCTTCCCAACGACATTTCTCAGCCCCTGGTCCACCGAGATAACTCGGTGGTGGTGAACCATCGTGCACTGCGCCTAGTCTATTGTATACCACATGGTATTCACATTTATTATTTACATTTTAACAAGGAAATTTAATAATAAAAAACAAACTCACAAGTGACCAACTTCGTGGGCCGCCACTATAATTCCGCTGAAACCACCGGTGTCTTCGATGATAGCAACGGAGTTGACTTTTTCTAGACGTTTGTTAACCACACAGGCACCGCCGACGTACGCAAATCCTGCAGGATACGATTAATCGATTATTCAAACAAATATGTTCTTTGATATCCTTCCAGTTGGATCCTCGGATTAAAGATTAATGTTACTTTTAGATCCGTTAGAGAGTATCTTTAGTTATATTAATATAAAAGCTACTGGGGGTAGCTTTTCGGCTACTTTCTAGCAGGGTTACCAGAGCAGAGCGAGGGATCGTTACGACGATCAAACCCACCGCGTCAGGGTTTAGCATAACTAATTTGCCTTTGCATTAGAAACCTCGAGACGCGTTAATTGTTAATTATTACCCATGGAACAATGACAAAACGAATTCGTCCGAATCGCAGCGATCGTTCATTCCATTATTCGAAGCTAATTTATTCTAACGATAATCATGCAAACAGCTGTTAATAATCCTGATTAATACGAAGAAAAAGTATTTCTTCCTTCGAAATCACGAATCTCGTTAGATAATTTTCCTTTATCGCGTCTTCACATATGTATACCTATTTTATTTTATTTTCTACGTACAAAAAGAAGGAATTTTGATGAAATTTTTACATTTCTTCTCACCCTATATGTATATATATGTCAAACTTACCAAGAACAAACGGTTCCCATTAGTCGATAAATGCAGCCGACAAAACAATAGAAAGATGTATCATACAGCGATTAAATTCAACGAAATTACGTTAATTCGTAAGTTGTACATTTCAAAGGAAAAAACGACCGAGATGAATTTTCGATGCAGGCATAGACACACATATCGGATTGAAATAAAAGCAAAGTTCTGCAGAGAAGACATTTGTTTTTTCGAAATTTGTCACACGAAAAAAAAAAATAAGATTCTTATCATAAAAGAGAAAAGCAAAGAAACCAAGTATCTCTAAGGATGACAGAAACCATAATCAAGCTTTAGAACGAGGAACCGTAAAGAGAGAGAAAGAGAAGAAGAAGAAGAAGAAGAAGAAGAAGAAGAAGAAGAAAAAATACATTTCAAATAGCAAAAAATCTATTGTTTATGGTAGGTCGGGGGGTGGTTGGGAGTTGCCAGATGGCGATAAGAAAAATCAAAGAAGGAAACACATCGACCGCAAGACAACATACTTGAGATTTGTAATGAAAGTGTGGGCTGGTGGTGAATTTAGCTTTTAGGGTGGGAAAGAGGTTTTTGTCGAGAAGAGACTAGACAAAAGAGGTCTGCCATTTGGTTTTTATTTGGGTCGGCATTACTTCGAGAAACGTACCTGCGGTTCCTCTATTGCACACGTCATTCGCGTATTGCCTCCTGCACATATCTAATCTGTAATGTAACAACACACAAAGTTTGTCTTTACATGGTAAAGAAAAAAAAGTAATATACTTTTGTCGCAATGTTCTTTTTCGCTAGACGAGCAGATCTTTGATCTTAAATTAATTATTTGGGCCTTTGGAGATTTTTCATATTCATTTTATACTCTAACGAAGAGGGTGGGGGGGAGGACGGGGATAATTTGGACGGAAAGAAAAGTCTCGTGGCAGAAAGCAAAAGAGAAAAAGAGAGAGAGTGAGAGAGGTGTAGAGACAAATTCTGCAAATATGGTCGATGTTGAAGTCGAGGAAATATTTCAGTGTCCTTGAAGTTCATCTCGCTTTGTCCTGGCCTAAATTCTAAAAATGTTAGATTGTTAATGATTATTATTTTAATAGCCCTTTTTATTTTCTTTTTAACGAACATTTGAATTCATTCTAAGTTAGCTCGTGAAATTAAAAAGCATACTAACCCGATACGGCTAAATTAGGGTTTTGAATTTGTCACAATCAGAATCATAAACTTGTACGATAACGATTCATAATTTAGCTATGAATTTTCGAAGAAAAATTCGGTTAGTTTTGAAATATTGTTTCTTTTTCGACTCTATAGCATAATTATTAGCTACTTATTATAATACGTAATATATTATTTTGCTTTATCCTTCCCGAGATATATTTGAAATAAATACTAAACGATTCAAATGTTGTAAATTATAAATAGACAAATCCATCAAGATATCAATTTGTCGATACTCACAATTAGTTATTTAACAAAAGCAATGAAAATATTAAATGAAGCACCCCCTGTATATATATTACAACTACTCTTACTACAACTACTCTTGTCTACTTGTGGCATTTGATATTATAAAAAGCATCCAATTTTTGTTTAGCCTATCACGAATTTTCCTGAAGAGACATACTCTGTGTTCGTAAAGTCATTTGTTCTCTTGGAAAGAAAATGTTAAAAAACAAAAAAAATATTTCTTCTTGTAATAACTCTTGTTAAAACTTACAATTAATCGCTGGCACTATGTACAAAAGTTAAGACGACAAACGAGATAATATTATATAGTATAAGATAAGTTAAAAATAAATGAAGCGTGTTCGCTATGTAATAAACCATACCGGCAGTTCCCTTAGTGCAGCGGCCGCCTTTCCTACGACGGCACATATCATACCTGTTTTTCGAAATAAAAATCGGCAGTATGAAATCATAGGTAAGCTGTGAAGAATTTATTTTAGAGTCTCTATATATATATAAATATATTGATTCAATTGACTTATTTATGGATCTAATCATGAAACAAGCACAGTGCATTTTCTTCCTCTTCTTATCAAGTATTTATAAAATATGTAATATTTTGTGTCAATTATGCTTGTTTCAAGATCGAATTATTTCTATGTAATCGTAATCGATCGTAGAATTGTTTTCTTTGGTCCACCCGACGATTCGCATGAAAATTCAAATTACGTTATATATGCATCTCTTGTTTTTTTTTTTCTTTTTTTTTGTTTCTAGTGATATACGAAACGGTCACTCTTACTTCGTCACTGCTACGGCGATATCGTAGACGGGAAGTCTCCTTTCTCGGAAAAGGTATTTTCCCATGTCGGTAAGAGCAGCTGCCGAATCAATGGCGTCCCTTCCGACGCGATTTCTTTCCAAATATGGCGTAGCATCTCGACCCTAAACAATTTGTCAATTATTATTTTATTTCCCCCTCAGCGAATGATTATTATTTAACGAATGAATATATTCTCTTACTCTAGATATTATTATCCCGGCTATACTGATACGTATTTTTGGTCCTTTCAATAATTTATACCTTAGATCGACGCCATTCCAAAATGATACAAAGTACCTTTTTATCTGTACGTTGTCCCCACCGTGAAGTCTGCGAAATAATACATTTTTTTCTTTATCTTTATTTCCCCAATTTCATTATATTACTTCATTATTATTATTTCATTTAACCTGTATCCGTCGTAATCAACGATACAAAGAATTTCTGGATAAATGACATATGGAGCTTCTCGTTTGGACCTGTTACCCGAGGAACGTTTACTTCTGTACTTTTTGGCCAGGTGATCGGGCTCCATCAATGCTGAAAAAGGATGAGATCGTTTCCGGATTGTTTCATCGAAACTCGAGACAAATTACTAACCATAATCGCTGTATTCGTCGTCGAAGGGTTTACGAAACTTTTTATAGACAACGTGATGACTCGTAGATTTCAGATTGTTTCTCAGAAGAGTGGTAACATTTGGTAATAATTCAGGCTGCAGTAGACTCGTGCTTTTGCTCACGACTTCCTGGATAACTCGTTCGGGAAGCGGTCGTATCACCAGTTCTGAACCGATGTTGCCATCCTGGAACATCAGGAGTACTCTAATGCTATTAACCGTTTGCACTTTCTCGGTTACGTGCATTATTTGTTTTTTATCTTATATCAACCGATAGCTTTGCGCGCCCGGACTAACTAAGATAATGTCAATTCAAGAGAATGTCACCATTGATGACACAAAATCTTTTTTACATATTCTCTGGAAGTCATTTTCATATACGACGCGTACAAGTATTTAGATATGTTAACAGTGCAGTGACCTTATCAAGTTACTCAACGGCATAGTTCCAACGCGAACGTTTCAGCTGCAGTTGGAGAGTTCTATGTATATGTATGCATTTATATACTCGTATACATTGGTCAGATCAAAAGGGAAAGGGGAGTGAAAGCGAAAGGTCAGAAGACATGGGGTCACTTAGAACAACGCTTGTGAACGTTTCATTATATAACGGCGTACTAGAAGGTAGATATCTAACCACCCTGCTCGATCGAATTCGATTTGACATCTACCATAAATCTTTTCACTTTAGTGCCCAAAATATTGGCCTAAGCTTATTTTTCTTACATATTATATATATCGTATCTTTTTTCTTGCGTAATCGTTGTTCCTGTTCATTTCCTTTTTGGTAAATCGAGTTATCGCAATAAACTTGCTATGCGAAAGATCATCGTATTAATGAATGATAAAAAAGGGAAATGTCAAAATGGTCGTAACTAAGATCTTCCACTTAAAAGCGTAACTTGAGCCGATCTTATGGCAGTGTTGAGTAACATTTTCATCGATTCGGGATTCAATTTTGTATACTTAAGGGGTTAATGTTAATTGGACCGTACGATTGAACTAGAATTATGAAACGTTTGTAAGACAGTATCGAATGAATTCATCAATGATTTTGCTGAAAATAGTTTGTAGAAAAGTATTTCCTACGAATATCGTCCTACGCGTTTGCGTTCTATCGAGATTTCCTATTGATAAATTAAAAGACGACGAACTCTCTCGGTTCGAACGTGTGTGTGTGTGTTTCGACAATGAATTCATAAGTATCTTTACGATTGATCATTTTCATGTAAATTTGTGTTTGCGAGAATTGCTCTCGCTACCGTTACGAAAGACGAGAGTAAGTAACGGCGGGATGAGGAAAGGAGGAAAAGAAGAGGAGGACAGTGGGGTTGGAATAGGTAGCGTTACCAGTATAAATTGACTTCGCAATGGTTAGAAGAAGAAACCGTACATATACCGTGTAAATAAGGTTGCGAGAACACCGTTAAACCGTGTGAAAGTATCATCTATACACGAATGGCCTTTCCAGGATCGAGTACGAGTGACCCTTGTCTGCTAAACTTCCTAACTGACCAAAATTAATCACTTTTACAGTTGCAAATAAAGATAGTCTTTACGTAATAGCAAATCGGCTTTGTTGACTAAATGAAAAGTGCCTTGAATTGTGCCTTGATATCGCATGCCATGAATTTGTTGATAAAATGTCGAGAGTAGCGGGTACCCGCATTTTAATAATCATTTTCTAAGAGAACGTAAAAGCGTAATGGAATATTACGTTAGTCCATGCATTAGACAGCGGTCTTCTAATCGAGTTATCTCAAATACGTTAAATGCTTTCATAATACATATGCAAAGTTACAAAATCAAACAATACTTTTTGATGCCTCTTATTCGAAAAGAGATAAATAGATATAAATAGAGGTTCTAAAAGATTTCAAATATTAAATTCCTACCTATTATCAAGAATAGATGTTAGAATATATATTTATTCGAAGTAAACTCTAGACACGCATACCCGGTTGTTCGGGCTAAGAACAACGGCAATCGCAATTTGCCTCTTACTTTGTACTTACTAATCGTGTGTCGAGAAAAAAAAAATACCATAAAAACAGTTGCATTAGGATGAATCGCGGTATTGCTATAATTATGACACGGTAGCTGGGTAAGTCGTGCCAGTTGACGAAAGACGACGGGCCGTAATAATGGAACGGTGTCGAAAGAAACATTAAGAAAGAATGGCTTCTTACAACGAGCACTTTCCCATTCGCGTCTTGGTGCAGTAGAATCGACGCCATATTCCTTCTATCTTGATAGATGTCACCGATATCGATAACGGTATTGGTATCGGTATCGGTCTCGGTCTAAACAAAATTACAAAATAAAATAAATACAAATCAAGGTATTTCTTTTATCTCGTATTATATATTCATTTGAATACTTACGTCCAATACTCGTTCGTAACGAAGACCATCAGGATGGGAGTCGTTCTTCGTAACGGTCCACATCGGCAATCGATTAGGCGACAATAATCCTCTCGTTGGCTTTAACGATAGACTAATATCCGTCCCAAATGCCTTTAAATGTACCTCTGCTTTTTTTCCAGAACTTCTCTTATGTATCGAGTGCAACACCGGCACGATTTCATACGAGGGCACTGTGAAAACGTTATTTTCATTATTCAAAATACACACACAACTGCAAATTATGAATTTATTTTATCGACCGTTAATCATTCAACGACATATTTTGTTCTTTTTGTATATTTAATATACGAAGCTCTCTTATTAGAAATTCATTGCAGGGTGCTCGAAAAAGGAACAACAGAGAGAGGGAGAGAGAGAGAGAGAGAGAGAGAGAGACGACGCTGTATAAATATTCATCGGCCAATGAATCACAACCGTGAATTTGTATCGAACGACAGGTGAAAAATCGTAGAAAATTTGAACGTCGATAAAAGATTGTAGCGAATCGTCGAGCGAAGGAAAGAAACTTAATTGGACTTGTCTTTTCGAGGCTTGACTAAATTGGTATAAATATCTAGTCTATCTATCGTATTTTTATTTGTTTGATGTTGTCGTTACCAGATTCATGTCCCGTGTGAAACACCGATAACATCTCTTCCCTTGTCATGTGCTCGTGAATCTGGAAAAAAAAAGAAATAAATTTGATAGGAGTCGCGCAGGTACGTTTGTTCGTTTTGCGCACAATGCTTTCTAAATATTATTTCGAATCGAATAAAAAATCATATAAAGGAAAACAGAAAGAATAATATTTCCGAGAATCCATAGTCCGTGACGCGATCGCTCTTCGATTATGTAAATGACGTAAACGTAGGGACCCTTCGAAACCGGTAGTGTCGCAATTTCATTCTCTCTCCGAGAGTATAATAATACTCTCCTTGTTGGTGGAACATTTGAACTTTTTTTACTATTCCCACGATTACGTTGCGATTAAAGTTTTCCACGGTGTTATATTTCGATTTCGCTGTTATGTTACTTTGCGATTTCGCGAAATAGCAAATTCGCTATATTTAAGCGAATAGCTTTGCCGACAGTTGTCCGAGTCCGAGTTGATCGGTTATTGACCGAACGATAGACGAACGTTTTAGTAGTCGCTTCGTCGATCGTTATTACAGGCTTCTCCTTTTATGCCAATGTTTCGGACAACAACCGATAGTTACGTGCTCGTCATAAGGAAGTATTATATTCTTGCTCATTAGTTTGAACTTTTGTCGAAGTCATCGGCATTAATTTCTTCATTTTCAAGGCCAGACGAGTTTAGTTACAATTGTTTGATCCAAGTAAAGTCATGGAAACGAAGACATTTCTCTTGGTCGTTAGTTTCTCGGTCGTTAGTTTGACGGTCCTATGCCGCGGTATTATGGAGACCGTTGCCAGACGTTTGGAGAACTTTCCTACCCTCTTCATTCTCTTTAGCTTCACCGTAATGAGTGAAAGTTATCGACCTTAGAAGCCAAACGTTAATTGCACGCTTCATTTCTGCTGGCTACGACGACGTTTTTTAAATGTTAGATCCTACAAACCTTGACGAATAATTAAACAACTTTAGAATTAACATTTGTCGATAGATAACATTTTGTCATTGCGAAAGAAATATTAGGATTTTGTCAATCTTTCTTCCAATATTCTCTCCAGAGTTTATTAACTTGCAGTTTTGATTTTCCCATGAAATTTTATAAAAGGATATGAAAGAAAAAGATAATAGTAATTAACGAAGGAAGGATTAACGAAGAGATTGTAGCGTAACGAGAAGGAGGTAACTTGGAAATAAGTGAAATAATGACAATTAACGTCCGTTGGATCGCCTTCGTTCGCGTTGGTATTCATTTAGTAAAGATTAACGAGCAAGATGAGCTCTCTTCGTCTTTTTCGAAGATAAAGATGTATGTATGTAATTGCATGTGGGACCATGAACGTGTATATATATTTTATTACCTTGTGGCATCGTGCGAGTGGTAGAACGGCCATGCAGAGAAGGACAAGGGCGCGAATCATTTTGCGTGAAAATATTCCCGATTGGCCGCGTCACGTCGCTGAAACAAAAATAAACGAGAAACAAATATATATGAGCGTAAGTATCGTGTGTGTGTGTGTGTGTGTGTGTGCGCAAACAACACGACTAAACAATCAAATTTGTAGTATTTTTGAAGTTACGTAACGTGACGTATTATAATATCTCTATAAAATCAAATGAAATTGTCCAACGTGATCGAATTTAATCGATTTTTCTTAGCTTCTTTTTATTTTCCTATTAAATATTAGCTACGTTCGCGCTTTTTTATTCATTTATTTATAGTCGCGTTCAAATGTTTCTTACCGATTTCTAAATGTAGTGATTAATCGAGCGAAAATTTCTTTTCTACGAAATATAAAAATGAAAATTTGATCGAATTACGAGTATCGTAATAGAAATAATTCAAGAATTAGAGGGAATTTAGTGATTTGGAAAGGCGCAACCAAAGGCTCCTAGAGGGAAAAGGAAAAAAGACCATTGTTCTAACTTCTAATACAATTTTAATGTCTAGTCATGGAGTAATACGGTCGACCTTCTTTGACGAAAGGAAAGTCGCGTTTTATCGAGGTCATCGGGCAAAAACTTAAACTCCCACGAACGGGTTGGTTGATGGGGGTCTCTCATGTTATTATAATTGTAATATCATTTTAGATCAATTTTTCTCCTATTCTCCATAGTGAAAGTCATTAACAATAAGATAAGAAATTGCCGAGTAGGAAAAAACTTGCTTCTACGAACACCTGATATTCCTTTCTAATGTAAATTGTACGAAATATTTTTGTTAACAAGAGATTCGACCCGTTCGCCCTACACATTTTACATTTTTCTCCGAGTTTTACCATAACAGGGATGGGATAATTTCCTCATCGTGTCAACGTACAATTTTCCTTTTATCCGTTGGGAGATGAGATCTTCTACCTTTGCAATGGTCAACGAATCGAGGCCACCAAACCAAATTTGTAACAAACTCATTTATAAAATGTGCAAAGTTAATAACCCAAGGAGAAATGATTATAGTCTTTTACGAGTCTTTTCTAAAGTCTTTCCTTTGAAAAAAGTCAAGACCTTTTTGTCAATAATATCAGCAAAAATAAAGGTTTCTCTTTCTCTATCTCCATACGCAACCCCTCCCCCCCAAAAACTTTTCAAAGAAATATCAGAGATTGCAATGCTATAAATTGTGCATCTTTGCAATTTCTTTGAAAACTTTCGGCAAATATTTTTGATGAGAATGCCGAGGAATTACCAGCAATGGCGGATTTCCGGCTATGACGGTAACATATATAACGCATAAACGCAACGTAAGTGTATCTATGCATATGCCACGGTGTGTGTGTTATGTACGACAAGAGAAACACGAAAGCAAAGTTACGGAAACATTCTCATTAAAAAGGAAATCCATTACCAACAGGTTGTTTCACTTTCGTTCTTTCTTTTGTAAAAAAAAAAAAAAAAAARAAAWAAAAARAAAAGAAAGAAAAAAAAGAAGAAAAAAACAAGCAGGTAGAAGTTATTGAAGAAACCGAGAAAGAGAATCATGGTGTAACTTGTACGATCTCGAAAGTTTCTTCGCGTCTGATTGCATTTCGTAAGAAAATAGGTAAAAGAAGAAAAATCTTCTTTTTCTCGGTAGAGATTTTTGTAATATCCGCGATAAAGAATAAAAAAAGTTAAATCGAAAAGCGGATATCGAGCGATCGATCGAAAACGGAGACAAATCAAGGACGACGCTATCTCGCGAGAGAGATCGAAAGAGATGTAATCTCATAGCCTGACGCGTGTATTTACTGTACGCGCATGTATTTATAAAGAAATAAAAAAGCCCAAATACAAATGAAAAAGTACAAGATCGATAAGGTTTCTTTTGTTCGTAGATACAAAATGAAGGAGTTTATCGTCGAGGACAGCAGCTATGCCGAGCACCAATGACGTGTCCCTGAATAATAAAGGAACACGAGATCAATCCGAATCCGAGAAAGAAGCCTATCTCTTTCTTTATATATTTCTTTCCGAGTACATAGGTGTAATCACCATGTACGTGTAGGTGTACACCCAAGTATACGTATATCGAGCCAACAAAATGCACATCTCAGTTAGAAAATAATTGTTTATTAAGAATACGCGTACCTTCGAGCCGGATCTTTCGGATGGAATTTGGAACGAGATCACGTAACATATCCGCTTGCATTTCATGGGATATGAATCGATAGTCAATCGAAATACGAGCACAAATAATCGATGATGGGCGATTGTACATATGCAAGTGTGAAATACGTAAATGTTCTAATTGCTTTTTAACGTAAGATATAATGATCTTAAGGAAATGCACAAACGAAATGATACATTATTCATGATATTACATGTACCGCGTTGAAATCCTCGAGAGTGACCCTGACGATTGCGTTCCGAGGCTTCTAACGTTGAAAGCCGTAGGAGAATAATAGTTTACACAAATTGAGAGATGGTATATTAATATTAAAATCAATAAATACAACAGCTGATTACTCGCAACTGACTACTCGCAACTGACTACTCGCAGCTGACTACGCGCAGCGCTTGCCTAAGATTGAACGTTGTTTTTACGAATGAAACAACTACGATGCTTGAAATTCAGGTTTTAAAAAAAGGAACGGAGCTGGAGGGCAATTCCTGACGCGATAAAACGATCTAACGCGATCTCTTTCAGACGAAAATTAGTAAAACTTGTCACGAATATATACCTGCATACTTAACCAATACATCCTTATTCTTAGTTCCATAAAGAAACAACAATGCAGCCCTAATGATCTTGTCTTTGAAATGTCATGTTTTTTTTTTTCTAATTTACAATGTAATTAAGTACACAAAAAACTTTGAAAAGAAAGATTGGATTTATTATTACTCTCCGAGGAAAAAAATAGAAGAAGCTGGACGAGACGATCGTAAAACGCTACCAGCATAATTAGCATATTTCGTTAAAATATGTACGACACAATATTTAGGCGATATTCTCTCTAGGAAACCGGTTCCGATGGTACACATGTACGTACTTGCAAATTTTCCCTTTTTATCTCTTCTTTTGTCTGCCTTTCTTGTTTCAAATATCACTTTCGCACATTCGATGCTAACAATACTTTTGTTATCGTTAAATATCTAATAACGTCATTCATTATCTACACAGTACGATCATGCTTTAATGAATATTTGACAAATTTCAAATCACATTCGTCGATTTCCTAACGATTCAACAATTTTACAGATTATAAATACGTTTTATTAGCCTTCGATTAGATCATTATTGTCCATTGCTTTTACCTTACACTGACTTTCCCCCATTTCGTTTTCCATGTTTTTTATCGATAGTTGTAAAGAATAAAAAACGTTCTGTTGTAATTAAATTGATGTATAGCGATCGTTTCGATGGATCAATGGAGTTTGATGATCTTTCAAAATAAATTTCAAACAACTAATGGTTATAAATAGTTAGTTATTCTTGAACGATCTATGATCGTTAATGCGTTGTTGATGCACACACGATCGAAGTCAAATTTGAAATAAACTTCAATCGCTTGTATATTTTTTCTTTACGAATCTTTGATTCTCACGGTCCTCCCTAATTTAATTATTCGTCATTGACAAGAAAAGAATCGCAAAAAATTGATTCTACGAAACGAACGAGTTCTACGAACGAGTTCTACGAACCTGATCGTACCTGCGATTTCCGATGAAAACCACTGAAAAAAGACAAGTAAACGATGTGACTATCCTAAATAAATTATGCTAATATATCGAGTTTATCGAGACAAAATCTGTCTACTTTTGTCACGCAATTATTTAGAAATAAACAAACAGGAATTACATATCGATAGAGGGATACAAATGAATATTTTATTAGTCTAGTAAATGGAAAGTAACTAATTTTATAATGGAAATTCAATTCTTTTTGTATCGCGTTGCATTGTAAAATCTCCGCGTCGACGAATAAAAACGTTCCTATAGTAGACGAAATAAATCGAAACGTTTATTAACGCGTCATTAACTGTAAGGTTAACGGTTGAATTTTTTGGCATCGAAGCCTATTGATATTTCAAAATGTTGTCTCTCTTGCTTTAATCGACAATAAACTAGAAAAAAGGAAAAAAATAAGAAAGAGAAAAAAGAGAGAAATGTTGCATTATCGCAGCCAAGTGGTCACTTTAAAATAAATTAGCCGAGTTTATTAGTATAACGAGTTTAATGCGATAAGGATTTTTGTTGAAAATAAAAAAAATAAATGAAATTCCCACGCAAGGAAATGGGTAGAATAAAGGTGATGTTACAACTACTCTTGTAATTCGTACAATGTAATTTTATTAAAATGTTATATATGTATAATAAATACGTTTATCATCAAGCGAGTCCCGCATAAGTGAATTTTACATGTTGCATGGCATTGCATGTAACGATTACTACATGCACGCAACAATTACAGGTATCTAATGACAACCCTGTAGTTAGCATGATCTATGAACTATGCGATAAGAAGATGAAAATGAAGAAGAAGTCGAAGAGTCGACGATTAATCTTTAAAGTTACTTGCGCAATCCCGTGGAAGAAGATTATTAGCTAGCGAGAAAAGGTTAGCTAACTTTCTAACGCAAAATAGAGTCACGTGCATGCCAGTGTGTGTACAAATCGAAACCTTATCGAAATGTCTGAAGATGTTTCAACTTAATTACCTTATTTTTCTCACATCATTCTGGCCCAATATTTTCTTCCTATACAACATATTATTGATTAAGATTTCATGAAATTCTATACGTAGAGCTTATTTAACTGATGCGAAACCGTTGATCTAGATCGACCGCTATGATGTCTATCATACGTGGAAATTGGAATTATTTACGGTTTCATTGATAAGTTGCAGATAAATATAGATCTCCCGTTGTTCTATCCGCTCTGATAATTCGATCGTTGAAGAAGCTTTTCTTTTCCTAATCCATTCATCGCGTCGTATCGGTTCACGGGATCAACTTTGCGGTGACCACAATGGTTCTGTTGCGATGGCACCAACCTTGACCCGTATCGAACTAGACCGATCCTAAAGTAGGTTCGTGTATTCACATTTCGAAATGATCGACCCAACACAAATTTCACTTCGACCGTGACTCGGGTCGGAAAGTGATATGAATGAGGTTCTTTCTATCTGTCCGAGTCTGCCTGTGCATCAACAATTACCTTATTGTAACTTATTCAAGAACAAATCTAATGAACAATCAAAATGACGAATCAATATTTGCATTGTGCAAACGAGACGTCCCTACGTTCCTGGATGATTTCGTTTACAGCTAAATAAATAATTACGAATGATTATTAATATCACACAATTTGCAAAATACTTTCTGTATAGGATTTATTATTTTACTTATTTTTTCTTTTTATATCGGAATATCGGAATTCTTTTAGACAAAAGGTAGTACACAGTTGCCGTATTGGCTCATTTGAATGGATATCACAGCTTACCACCGACGTGCACGGCGGTAAAGGTTCTCAACCTTGACCTATATACATCTGTGTGTGTGTGTGTGTGTGTGTGGTTAAGATGCCTTTATGATGAATTTACGATCGAGTGTGAGTCTACAAAATTATATATAATAATTAATAAAGATTTAAAAAAAAGATGCTCATAGATATATGCAAATAAATGATTCGTTATGCAAGCATATAACTTTAATCTCAACTTCTTTCTCGAGTTCTTAGTATGAGTTGACTTTTCCTCTGGTACTCGATTTCTTTTTTTCGTCGTATCTCTCTTTCTCTCTCTTCTTCCTATTAGATTTGTCGCGTTAATGCAGTTATTTATTCTCTCGAGGTTAATTTACAAGGTGTTATTAATTAATTAGTCTCATGTCAGATAGAGAAAATATAAATGTAGCGCAAATGAAATGTTATTGCCTTCCATCGTCGTTCAAATTGTTACGTCAAATCGTTAAGAGGGTGGGCCAAAAGTACATAGAAGAAACAAATCTTTATCTTAGGTTTGGTATAAAAAATGGTAGTGACCTTGACACGTACCCTCTTTGAAGTGGGGAGGATTTGCACGCGAGTAGCGTACTAAACTACTGGGAACGCTCTTACTCCTTTTAATTCCTCGCACACGATCGCACATACGTTAGTTTCTTTAAAAAAAAAAGAAAAAAAGAAAAAAAATAAATAAATAAACTTAATAAATAGCCTGATTGGCTGCAAATCCATTGGAGAGAAAAATGTATAAATTAAAGAAAATATATAATTGTTCTATAACTACTCTGTAATTGATAATAACTAAATAATTAATTAACATAATTATTTTTATTCGTGTTATTTTCGATCATAGGGGGACCATAAAAAACGGATACGTATATATATTTCGGTTGCATTTGAACGCTCTTTGGTAGAACGTTATCGATTCGCCGTATCAACAAAATTATGCTCACGAATCACGTGCTATTCGAAAATATTCTCCTTGCGCGTGCACTTGACACGGAAACGGATTTTAAAACGATTGCGTTGCAATAAAATACTCCCCGACGACGATGACTCGAGAAAATTTGAATTTTCTTTGTTTCAAATGACAATTTATGATAATAAATGATTGTTAATAACATCATATTTAGTAAATATAACAAACACGCATGAACATTTCTACACATGATTTCATTGTAAGAAATTATTTAGCAAAATATTTAGTATAGTTCAACAATTATTTCATCGATCTAATCGTTAAAGAAACGTTCAAGAGAATTTGTTTAATAACAGTATCTTAGCATCTATTTTTCTTGTTTAATTGTCTTATTTGTCTAATTGTCGATACTTATGCAAATTCGACACTTACAATTTTCTAAAAGAGATCAACGATGACAATAACGATAATAACGTCGTTCTGTCTTGGCAAGTATTTACTTTCCTAATGAATTATGTATGAGTGGGCGGACGTGGAAGTAGAGATCCAATTAGATAGACATTTTATTTCGTCCTCGTTTGCTCATATTTTCAGTTATTACAATCATGAAAACGAAAGAGATAGGGATTCGTCGAAGAATTGAAAATGGCACCCCGAGAGAGGAATGAACGTTAAAAAGAAAAAAAAATGTCGTCTGGGTGCGCCTTGCATTGTGCTGCCGGCATGTATGCATGCGAGTAGAGACCGTTCAGTTGTCTTATTCGATTGAAATGCGAACAAGAAGAAAGAAATAAGTAAAGGAACTTGGCGAGTAAACTAGCCAGTCTGCAACGACCAATATCGTCCAATCGAATCGAGGAGAATCGAATCGAGTGGAATGGAATGAAACTGAACGGAATGGCAGGAGTGTTACAAAATATCAGCTTTCACCGTATCACCGGTACACGAAGGCAAACGTAGCAAAAGCACGTTTGCAGCGAAACGAGTTATTCGTCTCTCTCCTCGAATTCATCCGTTCGGAAAGAACTTCTCCAACTCTATCTCGGGTTAGTTGTCCTTTTCTAACAGTTCTTACGCGTATAAATAACATTCGCTGATCGATTTATTCATTTTTAATGGCGTGACTTAAGAGATAACGATCATGACAGTACATTGCTCGACTGGTTCCACGCTAAAGGGTTAACTATCGCAGTTGACGATAATTCCCTAATCCTTTCTAACAAAGAGAGAGAGAGAGAGAGAGAGAGAGAGAGAGAGAGAGAGAGAGAACGAGAGAGAGATGGCTACTTTTAGAATGGTCGTTCCAAAGCCACCTACGTTCACGTGGACCACCACGTGAGATCAAACGAGGAGACTGGAGAGCTCAATGCTACAAGATTGAAAGTTAACTTTTTCCTCCTTTCATTTCTTCTTCTTCCACTACTTATCTACTATAACCTGTGTCTATTATAATTTACGTTTCTTGACAAATGTTCCTTTGCATTCGACCATATTGAAAAAACAAGTTGTCTCGTTGTCGGTATCAAGCGTGGATCATATATGTACCATGGTGCCGATCGTACGCTCGATGATTGCAAAAGTGAATTGACGATTTCTTTAACGTCGAAAGTCTTTCGACGACTCTCACCGTATTTCTAAGAACCATTTGATTTCTCAAAATTGTCTCGACATTTTTTTCGACCAATTATTATTATCGATAACGTCTGATCATTTCTCCCAGCATGCACCATAATCGGTATCGTATCGAAGGAGGCATTCCAACGCGAGTTGCGAGTTCAACAAAACTCCTTGTATATGCATGCATGTATGTCGACGACAAATGCGTTCACTCGCGCTTAGGCTTGTTTTCTGCATAGCAGATACTGTAACTAACGTGTTCGAAAGTTTTCGTCGAGAACACGTTCAACGACCGATCGTCAACTTTGATGTATCATAGGAAATAATAATCGTTCGTAACTATATGTGATGCACGCTCGTCATTACTCTTTTTTTTTCTTTTTTTTTTTTCTTTTTTTTTCTTTTTTTTTCTTTTTTTTTTTCTATTTGGACTTACAATTAAACGGCGTTCACTTCCGAGAGATTCGATCATGCTTGAAAAATTTACGATCGCTTCCTTGTTCCTTTTAACCTTTAAATCGACATGTAAGAATTTATAAGCACATATTTTTCTGGATTTTTAATCAAAGTTAAAAAACTTGTTAAAAAGGAACGCTTTCACGCGCACGAACAAAACTATTACTGTGTGTGATTGTATAAGGAAATATTCTCTCTATCTCGGTATTAGAGAATTTCCTTCCGTCTCGAGTGTCGCTCCATTTCCACTTCTCTCTATTTATACTTGATTCCTTCTTTCGAGTAATTCAATTTGAAGACATTTTTCGATTGCTGCCAAAAAGAGGGATCTCGCTGTTAAGTAACTTTCACGAACAACCCGGAGAAAAGTGGCGATCTTTCGATGAGCATTCACGGTGAATAGTTCAAGTGCAAAGTGGGACAAAGAGACGGCTTCGTTTTCTCGTATTTTTCAAATAAAATTAACTTACTACCGAATCGTTCAATTAAAACTTCTTCCCATATACAATGTTACAAGTGGAAACAAAAGCGAATATAAATTGAAAACAAATACAAATGTAATACTGTATCTTTTTATTCGAGGAAGTGTAAGTCATCGAAACCGAGAGTTTTAGCTTATCCATTTGAAACGGCATGCTATATACGTACAAGCTACATCTCTCGCTCTCTCGCTCCACTCTCTTTCAAGGAAAGTGTAACAACGGCCTGTTCGACGTTCAACAGAGAAATGAAAGTGGTAGAGCTTCGACTGTGTCCCGATAAACCAAACTCGGTAAATTTGTAGTCGTCGACTAACGTACTTTTCATTTGATACATACATGCATACGTATATAGTGAACATTTGTTAAGAAATACATTATGGTAGATGGTAGATTTGACAATACTGAACGTTTATGGAACGTAGAGAATTTTCATTGAAATTCTCTTCATTAATTTCCCATTTTGAGCAGCCATTTTTCTTTCCCTCTTATTTTTCTTCAATTAACGTACGTATGGCGAAGACGTCGAAAGGAAGAAAAATAAATACTGGAATGTGGAATCTTTAAAGCTGACGATAAAATATATAAACGACGGACATTTGCTGTATGAACTGTACTTAAACGTGATCGTGGCACTTTCACTGCGAATTCAAGCTATGGTGGTCGCCATTCGTTGGCTTTATTTAATCATAATAATGGCAATAATGATTAGTCGAATATTCGTCGAATATATTTTCGTCAACGTTTCGTCATAATATATATATACAAATATGTTTATTATATTTTATTCAGGCTTATCGAATGGCAGACATTTGTTTCGAAGCAATAATTAATAAGAAATAAATATTACAAATAATTTTCATTTGTTCCTCATTTTTAAACACTTTTGTTCGATATACATAGATAAAAGAAAAGGTCAAAACACTTACGTCATTTATGTTTGGTCAGAACGAAGATGGTTCGATTGGTTGTATGGTTTTTGACGGTCCTCATGTTTCCATTATTACGTTGATTGAAATCTTCGACATCGTCGACGACGAGGCGACGACGACGACGACGACGACGACAACGACGACGACGACGACGACGACGACGGCTGCAACGTCGACGAAAACTTGCACGTAAAATATATACGCGTATTTTCTTTAGCAACACTCGTAATTAACAAAATAGTATCAAACGAGATTGATGCAAAATCAAAATACAAAAATGACAAATTTCCCTTTATTTAATTCTCTTTTCTTCTAATTGTTTTTCCACTAAATATTGAAATTTCACTAAACACAAAAAAGAAACACAAATATGATCCAGTCGTATCTTGTCAAGGAATTCCTGGCTGATTTTTCAAAAAGATGTCATCAAAATAATGTTCCTTTTAATAGGTAGAACGGAAACAACAAAAACAAGAGAAATGGAAAGATTGAAAAAGTACCTAAGTAAAGATGAAATTTTTCAAATCATATTAGATACTTTAGTCCAATCCTATTTTCATATCAAAATCATTCTACTTTTTCTTTATAGAAATGTAATATTTTCAATACAAAGCAAAAGTTAGTTTTATTAATATTTTTCCGAAAAAGATTAATAATTTGTTTTGAAATCGGGTGGAGAACACGCTCGCAAACTCGTCCTCCTAGTTACACAAACCCGGACGACAGCCACAAATAGAATAAGTTGTATGCCTTTTAGACGTTGAAAAAAAGGGGGAAAGAAAAGGATTGAAGCTGAAAAAGCTGTAGTCTTTATAAGTACACCTTATTACCGTCTCGTGGTAGATCATGCGTGCTCATTAGAGGAGATTTAACGAACGTTTCGCGATATCGACGCGAAATAAATCATTACATTTCGCTCTCCGTTATTTCTTCCCTCTTTTTTTCTCGTCAATAGAAATTAGCGGAGAGAAACCGATAGAGAAAGAAAATAAAAACAAATGTTATTTGTTATTCGAAGCGCGATAATTACATCTTACAATTAGATCGAGCAAGTACAAGGAACGCTTCTTCCTGATAAAGCGACACGCGCCATGACTATATATTATATGGCTCACCATAATATCTAACACGGAATTATTTTTGAAAGAAGATTTTTAACAAAAGTTATAACTTTCTTCTATTCGAGATAAAACATATACGGCTCGCAATAGGATAGTTCGGGTCTCGCGAGGCATTCAAATCACCGAAACTAATAAACTCCTTCTAATTCACCTTTTTCTTCGTCGCTCAAAGTAACTTCGAATAGAAATTATATAGAAAATAAAAATAACTCCTTTTCCTAATATTTCATTAATCTCATTAGAAATACGCATTGTGTGTGATAATATAATACAAAATAAATGTGTTCATAGATAAAATGGTAACACGAGTAAATATATATGTGTGTATAATATTAAATGAAATAATATAAAAGAATGTGTGATATCATTTTCATTAACAATACTCTCTTCTTCTCCCTTGTACACACCTCAACGTCGAGAAAGATACCTTGTCTTAGATCAAAACTCAAAACTCCGAACTCGAAATGAAAAAACAAACTCAACGAACCGGTAAAATTCACTAAAAACTGGACAATACTCGACAAAATAATAATATCAAATTTGTAGGAGAAAGGAAGGAAAGGAATCGGCGTAGTCAGTTAGGAAGAAGGAGGAGGACGACGACTGCCGGATCGATTCTCGAACATATCTCTATCCGGCGGTCTCCGAAACACTGACTTGAACGTCGCGTTTGCGCTTAGGTTGCGCTTCGGTTGCGCTTCGATTGCGCTTGCGAGCAACGCGCTTGCGAGCAACGCGCTTGCGAGCAACGCACTATATCCATCTAACTAATCAAATACCCTTTATCCTTTATCTACATTCTTTTATTAAATATATTATTTCCAAACGTTGTCCACCTAATCAATACAATTTTAGATTATAACGTTCTCATTAGACATTTTTATGTAATTGTTTAATCTATTTGATTGACGCATCGCGCGACGACTCGCGATTGCCACTCAATTCTAATTTCGTTTCACAAAAATGTCACACAAAACAACAATATATCAAATGTTCAAACGTTTAATTATGTGTGAAATCATTTATAGGTTGAAAAAATAGTTTAAACGGAGTTTATACGACTTTCTACAACTTTCCAAGATATTCCGGTTTGAATAGAAGACGTTTACGTTAACCCACTAACCCCTATATAATTTCATTCCAATTGACTCCTACCCTAAATATTGCGAATTATGAATGGAAATATTTCGAAGGTGATGTCTCCTCAACGAAAAGACTCGCAGAGACTCGAAGAGTCTTTTATTCTCCATTTGTTTCAACATACCAATCAGATTGTTAATAATTTGTTCATATTTGCCTTTGCCTTCCGTTCGTTGGTATCTTAATGAAAACGCAAGTCAAATTTGATTTATCTGATTTGGAATGTAGGCAAGGATGTACGAAATAGATGATTCGATTGATAAATCAAGAGTTAGGATTGACTAGAGCGCTTGGTCACGCAAAGTTTAGACACACTTCCGGTCGAACGGCATGCAATTTCTTTCCCGCAATCGTTTCCTCTTAGAAAATCCGAGCTAGTAAGAAGGTGTATAGATTGCACCGTGCACCGACGACGTTGACATATAATAAACAATATTTATAACTAATTACTTAAATATGAAATAAAATTTCATATTTTCTTTCGAAGACGACTTTTTTTTCTAAAGAAGGGATAGATAATGAAACATTTGAACAGCACTTACGTATAGTTAGATATATGTGTAAGTGGGAATGAAATCTATCAGACTTAGGTTGTCGATTATTTCCAGTTTCCCGTTTACTACTACTTCTTCCCTTCCCTCACCCTATTAATCTTTTCATCTCGCTTTAACCAACAACTATTCCAGTATACCAAGTTCTTTGCTCCTGTGTCTCTTGAGAGGGAAAGTATTTTATAGCACGGTTCGCTTAACAAGAGAAAGGGGACACGGTTCGCTCCTAATTTCTGCTTTAAATCGGTATACAACCTATATATGTACGTGTACCTACCTACCTACGTATGCATCTATAGCTTTTATTTAACTACCAAAGCCGTGCGCTGGCTATTAACTCGATTATTATGCACGCATATTATTGCTCTATCTTTTAATTCTTACACGACAGACTGGGAGTCCTATAACATTTACTAATTAACGATTTTCACTTGTCGATGATTCAATAATCATTATTATCATAATATTTGTTGCGTTCTTTTTAAATACTCGCGATGCATCGTACATAAAGATTTTTATACTTTGACGTTAATTGCAAAAGTGAAAGTGCGCTTCGTTCTCGACGTTAGAGTGAACAGCTAAAGTCACGAATTAAAAAGAAATCCTCGCTCGTCTTCTCTCTCTCTCTTTCTCTATACCCCACTTTACGTAACTGATCTTGATATCCTTTTTGCTCTTTACTCAACATTACTCTAACTAATTCTCCGATCAATAAATACCAATTTCCATCATGTTAACAATAGCGCAATGGTTCTCTCTCCTACTCGCGCAAATATACACAGAACCAATAAGCACGCTTTCGTATTCCTATCGAAATTGGTTTCATCTTGTCATATCGGCGATTAAATTGCAATAAAAAAAGATACGGATGAAAAACAATTGGACTGTCTCGTGTTTTTCTTCTCCGGCAACTTCTATTCTCTCGCCATTTTTTGTTAATTTCCTTTTTCTAATTTTATGATTATTATTATTATTATTGACAATATCTCTTCGTTTGAATTACACTACTTTCATTATCTTGAGAGATAAAAAAGTGTCATACGGAAATAAATTATGAATTTATTACCATGACATTAGGGAAAGTACGGGAATAAATTCTCTTATAGGTTGCATCTCACTTATTGAAATACTATTTCGCTTATAAAAAAATGGCAAATCATCGTAGACGGCGGAGCGATTGAAAACGCATACGTCGATCTAATTCTAATAACAATAATAATAATTATTCGAATAATAGATTTGATTTAAAATTTCCGGCCGTTAACCGAACGATGATCGCTCGTATCGATAAGAAATTTCGCTTGGAGGAGTGGGCGGCGTCGAAGAATCTAGTGAAACTTATAAATAATTAATAGAACAACAATAGTATTTATGATTATTATGAAGTTAGTGGAAAAGAGGAAGGATCGGTAATTATTGTGTAACTATCCGGTTAGACGGCGGACTGCTTAGAAAAGTATACCTTTCACGGAGAGTGCATAACGGAGACCGTGACTGCTCGTTCGTTCGTTCGTTCGCTCGCTTACTGCATCGCTCCATGCATTGTCCAAAACCTTGGCCAATTTTAATCTCCAATTAGATCTCGTAATCCGGTTCATATAAATAACTGCTAAACCATATTCGCCTTGTTTCATTCTAATCCGTTTTTTAACTCTAATTAAGTCCATTGTAAATATTTCTTTAATTTCCTTTTTTCTTTTTATTTTATTAACAACACACACACACACACAACATTCAAGATATATTCTTTTTCTAAATATACCTTCTTCCTCTTGTAAAGCAGATCAGAATGATTTTCTTGAAATTATCTTCTTTAACGCTGAATACAGAAATATCTCGCTGAATAGAGAAAAACTGCACAAGCTCCCAAGATTCCCAATGAACCCGAATCCTAAGGAAAACGATCGAAAGGTCACGCTCGCTCTCTCGCTAATACTTTTACTTCTCCTCTCGAACCTTCGCTTTTAACTTATACAATCACTATTCCCCTATCTCTCGTTCACACATTTTAAATAGCCGCGAAGAAAAAACTCCGATTTTGGATGATACACCATTGCTAATCTTTGTCTCTGACAAATTATATTCGTTCTCACGTATTATAGTAATCATGATTATTATGTAGAATTCAGTCGTAGATTTGTTTCTATAGAAAGTAGAAAGTTTTTCAGACTTTTGCGTAATATCCGATTCGAAGTAATTTGTACATTGAAGAATAAATAAAAAGAACAAAAAATAATAAATGAGATTTCGTTATTGAAACATTTCCTTTCACTCCCAGATCTTGACACCGAGATATTTACATTAAAAATTTTAATATCGTCCAAAATTGATATATGTTTAAACATTAAATAAGGATTGTCAATGTATGGTAATGAAGGTTTCTTCTCCCATCTTCTTCTTATCTAGAAGTAGCTGTATTGGCTTTGAATATTTCATTACACGTGTTTTTGTTTTATTATTTTCAATTGATATTGATAATTAATGAATTAACAATTATGTAATAATAATTATAATAATAATAATAATAATAGTTAATTAATTAATTAATAATAATAATAATAGCTGATACATACATATATATATAATACAATCAGGATATAATAATTAATAAGAAACTAATCGTCGTTTTTTTTCTGTGACAGCTGCCTCAATGCCTTATAAGTTCCTAGCAATCCTACAGAGTTGTTTTAAATTATTAGTAATATCATATATCTATATTCTTTTTTTTTATCATTTTTTCTTTTTCATCTGCCGTCTGTTTTTTTTTTTTTTATCTTTTGTTTTCTCTCATTACGAAGAAAGTCCAAGTATAAATAATTGTGCCACTTATTTGTTGTGTTGATTTTCTCTATATATGTATATACGTGTTGCACATATGACGTCACTTTTCAAACGCTAAATTATATGTTCATTCCCTTTTTCTCTTCCCCTTTATTTCTCGCTATTTTTATTTAACTTTTTTTTTCATTTCATCATTTTTTTTCAAGTTATTTATTACCTCTTAAGCTTTTTTTAAATTGACAAACCCTTATCGCGAAAGAAACAAAATTATTAAAAGCGAATGATTGTGCAATTAAATTTTCCTATATGTATGTATGTATGTATGTATATATATATGTATATATACACACACATATATATAAATTTTATAAGTGATAAGTATGAAATCACCCTTTAGTTCGTTTATACATACCGATACGTAGAAATCAAATTCGTATGTTTTCTTAAGGCTATATATACATATACATATATCTATTATAAATCTCGAGATTGTATACTCGACAGATATACTCGATATATATATGTATATACATATATGCTTGTAACATGCAAAATCTATTTTAGTACATTTACGAAGAAGATATTATTTTAATAATCAACATCGATTCCTCTATGGCGAATAGCCTACGTCTAAAATGATAAGGAAACTACAACTGCTTTTTTTTCTTTTTTTTTTCTTTTTTTCTTCTTTCTATTGCGTATATGCGTGGCATGCATCCTAAACATTTTTAATTACGTGATGCAGATAAGTACTGGTTTTTGTTGTTGCAATATATGTTTTGTATTCAATGAAACGAAATTCCTTTCAATTATGGACGTTTTAGCATGTTTTATTTGATATATGTAAGAAAAAAAAAAAAAAAGGAAAAAAAAAAAATGGAAAAATATTCCCTCAAATAAAATCAAATGAAATGGCAACTATTGAAATTTGTTTGTAATAAAAGTTCACTAGTTAACTTTTCCTGTAACTAAGAATAGAACAAAAAAAAATGCGATTATATAATTAATATTATATGATTATTAGTTTTAGTTTCTATGATATTAAGCTGGCGAGTTCGTTCGTTTACCGTATAAAGTTGTTTTTCTAGATATTCATTAAGTGGATTGACCCTAACATTGTCGTAGATGTTTGACGATGATGTTGGTTGTGTCTTCTGTTAAAAAGTCTGTAGAGGCCAATTAAATAGTTGTCAGACTATGCCATGGCTATGCCATGCATCAATATTAGTTCCTTGATATCAAGGCCAAGTCGTAAGTTAGCTGGCGTGTTACCAATTACAAAATGATCTTCGGTTAAAGGTAAAGCGTCTTTCAATAAGAGCCTAGAAAAAAAAATAAATAAAAATAAAAGAATATAAAAGAATCTATAAACATAACACTGTGTTTAATAGAATTAAATTTGTATAATAGAAAATTTGATTGAAATGCAGTAAAAAATGTTTAATATTCCTACCAAATGTTTTTATCGGAGACAACGTGAACTTTTGGTATTGGGAATCCGTTAAATGGTGAAGCAACAGGTAAAGTATATGCACCCATATTTTCAAAAATAATCCAATCATTAATATCCATTTCATGGAGTAGAATATTTTCAACGACTTTATCTAAACCATCACAGGTTGGTCCCCAAATACTTGAGGGAATCAATTTTCCGCAACCATTCTGTTATATAAATCGATAAGAAATGATTTTTCTTGCGTAATAAAATATTCAATTAAATAGAAATATCTGATAAATTATTCTTACCTTGAGGGGAAGAGGTGTTACTCGTTGATGATCATATAATAAACAATTAAAAGAGCCATAAACGCCGTCATTGATATAATACATATTTTCCGTGATTGTATTTGGAAAATTTTTATCACCATGTACCGGGCGTTTGCTGTGAATACTTGTGGCAAGAGTAAATGCAGATGCTACGTAGAATCTTCCAGGTTCAGCAATTACGTGTACAGCATCGGCTAAACATTTTACCAATTTTCGTATTATTAATCATAAAAATGAATTTTATTAAATATTTGATGCTTGATGCTTATTACTTACTGTTAAAATATTCATCGAGAGCTTTATTGACGGTATCGGCGATCTTGTCAATGCTAGTTCCTTTATCTCCTGGATAACCACCACCGATATCTAACAGATACGGATTAAATCCAAGATCAGATGCCAGATCAAATAATAATCTTGCATGATGAATAGCTCGATGATAGACAGGTGGATCTTGACATCCTGATCCAACGTGAAAACTTATACCAATTACATCCAAATTTAATATTCTTGCAAGCTGTAAAAGATTAGGAGCTTCATGGTTCGGATCGCAGCCAAACTTCATACCAAGTTGGCATTGAGCTACATCTGCATCGCACCGAATTCGAATAACAACCTGCATTCAAATGATGAAACGATTTCATTTATTCGTTAGAATAAAATCAAATAAAAAACTGATGATATTCCAGAATAATTTAACGAATTTACCTTGGCCGTTGGAAAGAATCTCTTAATTTTATGCAATTCGCTCTCGTTATCTACTGTCATCGTTTCCACTCCCATAGCAGCAGCATGACGAATGTGGGAAGCAGGCTTCGCTGGATTAGCAAATATAATTCTAGATGGGTCAACTCCGATGCTTAACACCTTATTAATTTCATTCTAAGTGGAGGAGAAAGGAACCGTTTAATATAAGAGTTAGGATATAAAATGCTGTATAGGAATATAAAATGCTGTAAAATAATATTGTATATACTTTAGAAGCACAGTCGAATCCAATTCCAAGGGCAGCCAGGACTTCGATAACGATTAAAAGATCGTTACACTTGACAGCTACAATTAAATATAATTATTTCCTAATAAGTATTAATTGCATAGCAAGGAAATTAACATTAACATGAAATCAATAATTATTTACCATAATATGGATCGACACGTGGCATTTTCTCTTTCCAAATTTGATGTTTTCGCACAATATCACCAATGTCAAGTACATAGAAGGGTTCTTCTTGCAATCCGCTCATGGCAATATCTTTGATGACTGTCATGACATTAGAGTCATGGTCCAACACATGGATACGTTCATCCGAACTTGATACCTTCATATTGAATGCTTTTTTATGTTTTTTTTTCTCTAAGACTTAAATGGTACTCTGCAGGGGCTAGGCAGCAAACTAAAAAACAAAATTAATCGTAGCATAATAAAATACAAATTGCATTAGGTTTAAATGAAAAAAGAAAAAAGTCTACGTACGAGGCAGCTGTCAACAAGAATTGGTAGAGTCGTGAGGAAGCGGGTTAAAACAAAATCACTGTGGGGGTGCTAGCAAAGCCACGGGGGCTCTGCGTTCAGGGCCAACTTCCAGTTGCCGCTGGTTGTTACACGCCCAACGGTAGACTGGCTTACCAGCCTATCGCAGAGAGAACCCTGCGAGAACACAAGTATTATACTTATATCAATTTATTTCAACTGTTGCGCATTATTCCATAGAACTCTTTCCTTTATCAATTTTGATACTTTTAACGGGTGAGGAAATAAATGAGATATAAATGAAGTAAAATTTCAATAAGTTATCGAAGAAACGCATCTATAGTAATAAAATTAAAAGAGAACAAGAAAAATTATCAGACAAAAATATTTTATCTTATCACGTATGTTAGATGATTGAGATATGACCTATCAAATTAATAACTTGCTCAAATTATAAATGCTTGCTTAAATCCATCTTAAAGAAATGATAATAAGTATAATGATAACAATTTAGTCTAATAAATGGACTTAACCTTTTGCTTAATTATATCCTACCTGAGTGTGGAGCGTAATTCTCGTGCTTGGTATATCACACATGCAATAAACAAATTCACAACACGTTAATCGCGCCTCTTTATTTATATTTATAGATTTATTTCTAGTCAATTCAGGATATATTATTAATATAATACGATAATTGACTAAACTAGACGAGACGAGAAAAGGAGAAAAAGTTAGGTTAAGTGATATATACGAAATTAATCTTGCGAACTCGTCAAAATTTGGTAGAATACTAAGTCAGAAACTACGCTTTGGACCACTATTTATATGTCTAAGATAAGTATTATCAGACAGTCTCCGTATGTTCCAAAGATTACTTTATGTTTAATGAATCTTATCTGACAGCTAAGAGGTACATGGTCCATAGAACTTTGATCAGAAGAGGGACCAAGGGGAGGAGAACGAGGAGGCAAACGAGGAGCCAAAGGAGGAGGCAAAGGAGGAGGCAAAGGAGGAGGCAAAGGAGGAGGCGATATGCACACGTCACTCAAAAACAGAATCCATTGGGGGTAGGGAAATATCGTTAGATACAATATATTAGTCTATTATCAAGATCATTTAAGCTGATTAAGATAGCTGTAAAAATACTATTATGATATATTATTTCCAAGTTGGGATACTTTATTTTATATTACTAGTTGAAACATTGTCGATCAAAGATAAATATAAAATTTAATTATTTCACTATTATTACAGACCACGATTTCATCAGAATAGATAAAAAGAATTAGGAATATCTGTGTGACATAACGTATCTCTCAATCGGTATCCTCTTATAGATTACAGATATAATAAAAGAAAAAATTCAATTTTAATCGAACGATTATTGCACGAGCAATGTAGTCATTATTAATATGCTTGAATTTTAAAAAAAAAACTCTTTAAGCGGAATTGTCTAACTGATGCAATAACAATGATTTTGCTAGTTCGAAGAGGAAATACCGGACTAAATGAGATATCGCTAGATGAAGAAAAGTCAAAGATATATGCGCAGCTGTTCCACAAATGTCATCTTATCAAGATGTAAATATATAAGAGTTTAATCATCAGACAGATACGCAAACTTTAAAACAAAGAATAAGTAGCATTTAAAAGCGATACGTGCAAGATGAAAAATACTTCTTGACAATTTAATCCAAACTAATTTAAAAATATTCCTAACGTCAAGGAAAAAATTTGATAACATTTATATTCAATAGAAATCATAAAATAGTACATAGATCTGCAGTTACTCCGTTGGAAGATATCTTCAAGTTTAATCTTCTAAAGTTTAATCCTACAAATTCACTATGTTTTCTATTGTTAAATAAGACATCGCTTAAGCTCTTAGATTATTAACAAAAATATTTAACTATCCCTTTAAATCGATCAAGAGAAAAACAAAGAATTACCATATATATAAAATATCAATATTTAAATATTTCAAGGGCTTAGTCAATTTATAAACATTCCTAATTCCAAATGAATCATCATCCTTACCAATATTTTTATTACGCCTAATATTTTTCAAAAAAATTGATCTTCGATTGAAAACCCTTAGGTGATATCTCTAATTCGTCGTATTCAACGGAATTTCTTGAAAATAGAAAAATCAAAAATGATGTGAATCATCTCTTAACGATTGCACGTTACGCCTTTGATGTAACGACGATCCGTATGGGTTAAAAAAGAACAAGAAAAAAAAGACAAAAAAAGAAAGAAATAGATAATAATCAAATTACCTTATCGAAAGATCGCCACCCAGCGGGTCGGCACTCGGTTATTGACGGAATGATGGAAGTTTTCGGTGACTGGATCCCAAAAATCAGTCAAATCGTTCGAAAAATATGAAAAATTAGTTCGTTCGGTGACCAGTGCTTACTATATTCAATCGCGAACGATTTCTTCGACAAAATATCGAAACCAAACATTCGTTTAAACGTTCGTAACAGCTTATACGGCACGAACGAACATTCTAACTTCGATACCGGATATTATAACAACTTCCTCTATTTCATAAAATAACGAAAGGATACACCGAGTCGCGAAATATCTTCCAACCGAAACATACACCATTAAGAATTCCCAGAAAGGGCTCCTAAAGACATCCTATAATATTATCGATTAATCGTACGCGTTCGAGATTTCTATTTCGATATTTCTTTCAATACTCTAACCGTTTTTCCCATCAACCAATCAGCCTCCAGTATCATCGTGATATGTTCGAGGTAACAAATAGGATTGCTTCGTACTGAATCGATACTTAATATTTCGATACGATAGGCCAGTTGGCAAATTATTTTTATGCGATATGAATGAGTTTACATATTTATTCTAGAAAAATATTCTACGTATATTATACATGAAAAGAAAACTTATGTATGAATTACATATATACTCTGGAATTAAATATATTTTTTTCCCAGTTTTATGATACCGTTATATATATATATTTATATTTATAAACAATATGCGTTACAAGCTCCCTGTTTAATTTGCCTTTACAGGTGGTGAGAAATATCTTGTGACTATCCTTACTATCAACGCAGCACTGAAAGGATAATAGAAAATAATGTACTTTTTATTCGTTTCATTGTATATACAAAATAACCAACGTATACCTCATGATCGTTATCACTCCAGCTGGCATAATCTTTCTAGTATTATAAAACCGATAACCCATCAAACCTCCAAGCGCAGTAGTTGTTCCTAATAAGACTCCAACGTTGGCTGGATCTTGAGACGTTTGAAAAGCTCCATAACCAAGAACGGATCCAAAGATTAATCCCGCAGCAAGAGATGGAATAGAATCTATAAAAAGTATGTACATACTAATAAGTAATGATTGTCCAGTAGCGAATAGTAATACACATTGTTTTGAATAATTTGTAATATTTCAATACCATAGAGCTATCCTAATGTCATTATGAATAAACCGTAATACCAAATTGATAAAGTCTGTGTACTACTATAAATTATATTTATATTTAAAATAATAATAATAAACTTACGTGATTTTACATAACCTAAAATGCCACCGCCAGCAACAGCTGCAGCATAAGCAAATGCAGGAAAATCAATTGGCATTTTTGTTTTCTTTTGTTTATACTCTGAAAATATCTCTATTTGAATGATTATGCCAAATTGAAGATTAATGATAATCAATACAGTCTCTTTCTCTTATCACAGTTCCAACGTCATAGTTCAACTAATTTATAGAGTCGACATTTTATTTAAAAATGAATGCCGTAAATGTTTTCCATTTTGGATTTCTTTTTTATAGGAGCGAGCACATTATATGGCTGAAAACAGAACAATAGCAATTTCTTCGACGAATTGATTGATGACATTTATTATATACTCATTGACCAATCAAATTTTATCTATCGAAAATCCCGCGAAATTGGAATTTTTTCTATACTTGATAAATTTGTGATACTAGTGTTTATGGAAAGTTTTTTTTATTAATTATTAAACGTTTTAATTATAATAATAATTGTGAATATAATTAATATGTAATAATAAAATGCGTCACGTGCCAAATTTAGAAAAAAACTATAAGGGATTTTTCAAGGTCAGCTATTTTTAAACGTTCATATTATTGTTATTATATTTGAAATATAAGCTTGCTACTTAGATTTGTTAACTATCTCGGAGATTAAAACACTCTGTCCTGAGTAATATATAGGAGCTAAAATCTACTACTGTTATCAGTCAATGCATCATATTTACCGTAGATCATAGATAATACGTAAAATATGACATAAGAGATTTAAATAACTGAGTGTGTGTACGTGACATAATTGAATCGTCGTGACACATTACAATCGAGAAATTGTAAAAACCATCTTGTCGTTTGATAAATGGTTGGATAATATTAGTTCGTTATAGAGCAGATTTTCTTTATCTACCGAGTGTTGTAATTATTAACATCATATTTTGTAATAGCACGCAATAGTGGAGTGTATCCTTTGGAGCGTATCTTTTTTATTCTCTTTATTTAATCGATTAAAATGTCTCGCAATTTATTAATTAATACTGGCAATATACTTTCATTAGATGAGGCTAAAAAAAAGGCTAGTCAGAATACAAGAGACGAGGTTAGTTGATAATTACTATTTCAGAATTTTTTAATCTATCACATGCACACACATATGTACAACGATATCGTTTTATTGCATATTTGTATATTTTATTTATTTTTCAATGTTGCTCATTTACTTGTCATTAATTTATGTCAAATAATAATATGCATATTTGCAGTTAGTCGATACGCTGAAGATTATTTTGAGAGAAGAAGAGAATCAAGGGGACAACATTGCATTTGTATGTAAAAGATCTTTTTTTTCAATATTCTGATACTTAATTTACCTTTAAAGAAGAAACATTAATATGTATCTATTATAAAATTGTATACATAGATGAATGGTATAGGAGATACCGGTATTGAAAATACAGAGAGAGCCGAATTGAAAGTAACAGTCAAAGTTTTTGTTTCATCTCCTGAAGCTGAATCGTTGAAAGATGCATTAGACAAGGGTATGTAAATATATATATATATATATATATATATATATTGTAGATCTCGGTGGCATATGCATGTACATTTAGTTTTTAAATATACAAGTATTATTAAATGAAAACTTTTAGTCTTTGAACATTTGAACACGGATACGATTGAATCCTTGGTGATTGCTTATAGCACTAAACACGATTCCGAAGATATATTAATGTCTTTAAAATCTTTATGGAGAGCTGTCGAAGAATATGTAAAAGTTGGCAAATTGTCTAGTGTAGGACTGAGCGACTTAAGTACTAATACATTTATTGAACTCTTTCAATGGGCAAACGTAAGTCACGTCACACTTTCATAAATAAATTGTATGCATTTCATAATCGTATATACAAAAATGATTCTATATAGGTAAAACCTGATATCGTACAAATTAATTTGGCTACATGTTGCATCGTTCCACCAGCCTTACAAGAATTTTCTAAAGCAAACGATGTACAATTATTAACGCACAGCGATCCATCAGGTAAATATTATTAATCATAATATATAATTAATGAATTTTAATTATTAGCATCTCTTTTATCCATATATAATATAGTCTAATTATTTTAATATGTAGAAATATTACCGGAGGATATGTTGAAGGAGATATTTGGTTCGCCAGTGTCGTTACACTGGGTTGTTAAATATCAAATACATCTTAAATGCCGTGGTATACTGACCTCTAAAGGATACCTAATTTACATTAAAAAATTATTTACGCGTAATTAATAATTATAATGTTTATAGACAATTATTTAGAAAATAATTTAGGTAATGTTTCATTATGTGTCATATATATATATATATTTTAATATTCTCCATTCAATTACGTTTAATTGAATGGTACTTAACGAGTGTTACTTACTAACGTTTAAAAAAATAGATGTAGAACAACTAATCATTTTTGAAGTATTATATATATATATGTATAATGCATTTTTAGCACTTATGCTATCATCAATTTACACCATATGTTGTACTTATAGAATGTAAATACAAAAACAAGCGTGCATTTTTGAATACAGTGATATTTTAAAAATTTAAGTTTATATAAGTTATTATAAATGTATATATATATATATACATAAACTTTGTATATAAATATATAGGAGAGACGACTATGATGCGTACGAATATGATTCTTCAACCATCACTGTATTTATAATTTAAATTTGTGGAATAAGAACACACAAATAAAATGTGTTTTTATATTAAAGGGAAAATTGAGCAAATTTCGTAAAAGCATAAAACATAAATAAACAGTATACGTGGTATTAAAATAAAAATTAGAAAAAACTTGCAAATGAACTAAAAAATGTTTACAAAATCTTTAAAACAAATATATCATTTAAATCTATTTAATAAGTATACCTTTGAAAAAAGAAATCCTACAAATAGAAGAAGAATCTCAAAGAAAATCCCATCATTATTGTCGATAGACGTCGTTCACAATATATGCAACACAAGTTTTCGTTTTGTCAGCAGCCACGTTGCTGTAGCAGCAGCTACCTTTAGCATCTTTCCCTTTCCCTACGTTGCTGTATCTTTCTGCTGCTGTTGGCCCTCCCTTTCCTACATTGCTATACCTTTTCTGCCGTTAGGCTCCCTTTTGCGTTAAGCCGCACCGCGTGGCAGTGGACATAAGAGGGATGGGGGAGGTCGGAGAGAGGGCGGTAGTAAAGAAAGGATAGAGGGAATGGGATCGTAAGGGAGTGGATATAACGTAAAAGTTCTTCTTATCCTTTTTCTTTTCTTCCATATACGCACTATCCCTTTCCAACGTTCGTCATTCTACTATTTCTCTGTCTTTCTCTCTCTTTCTCAATCTCCTCCAGCTCCTTCACCTCCTCCTCTTTCTCCTTTTTCTTCTTCTTCTTCTGCTTCTTCTGCCTTTTCTTCTCCTTCTCTTATTCGTTCGTTCGTTCGTTCGTTCGTTCTGTGTAAAGAGTAGCCGCTGTGTTAGCTCCTTCCTCCTTTAGTCAAGAGAGAGTATGCGAACCTTAGCAATACTATGTTATGCCTGTGGAGCTTGGCTCTGACATACTTTGTATGTTAATGCCACATAATGTCGGTTTTGTTCCTCTTTTCAGCATTTATTTGTTTCGGCTTCCCTTCTGACTTTAGCCTTTTCCCTTTTTTTATTTTGTACTCTCCGTTTGTGATCATGCTTATATTCTATACCTTGGTAACACAAATTTCTTTTGTTTTTTCTCCTTTCGGATATATTTACCACGGAAGTTCTGACTAGCACCTTCTTCTTTAGCTTTTTCTTCACCTCCTCCTTCATCCACGAGGATCATCTGTCTTTGTTACTTTTTGTGGTTTCAATGGTCAGGATAAAAAAATTGCTTGGAGAATTGATCGAACGATTGGAGTTAATCAAGTTGTATACTTTGAAGAGATTGATTGGTAAATTGAATAAAATTGATTGGTCGATCGAGTTAATCGGATCGTTTTGCGCGTATATTACAAAGTCTTTTCTCGGCTCTTATACGTTGAGATAGATCGAGATGATGGATCGTAAATATAAAAGAGATATCATCATTTCCACATGTTGTCCTTATCAGTTGTTTTTACTGTTCTATACTATATCCGGTAAGGTAGCATTGGTTAGTAAGCAGTAGCAGCGGTGGTAGCTGGTGCATGCCGCATGTAATATAGACCTGCTGGTACTTGCTGCGATCCGGCGTTGACAGGTGATGCAGTCGCGGAATTGCCCTTCGCCATCGAGCGCATCTTACGGATGTGCTCGCGAGCAAAGTACCTTCTACCCGTTGATGTCTCTCCCTAACACAATGAAATAAAACAAGACGACAACGGACGGAGGAAGAAAGGGTCTGGAAAAGACGCGTGTATGTAAGAGTAAAAACGAGAGAGAAGAGATCGAAAGAGTAAACAGCAAGGATCGAAGTAGCTTCTGCATCAGCAGCAGTGCACTTGGAGAGTGCGCAAGTATAAGTACGCAAAAGCTCCCTTCTCGTAGGGTCCTCCGACGCGATGCAAAGACGGGGTATAAATAAGCGGCTGTCGTTTGCGGAAGCAGAAAACGGCCAAAACAAGAGAACGAAGAAGGAGAAGGAGAAGAAGAAGACGAAGGAGAAGAAGGAGAAGAAAGAGAAGAAGGAGAAGAAGAAGAAGAAGAAGAAAGGAATAAATAAGTTTGGGGTGGAGCGACAGAGAGAGAGAGGAATGGTAAAGTGGTGGAGAAAATATACATGTATGTATATGTATATGTAAGCAATATATAGGATCAAAAGGGAACTCTTCTACCTACCTTCCCTCTTCGATCTACTAACTTTTGCGGTATACAAGAGAGTCACCGCATTAAAAACTTTCCGCTGTCTCTTCTGGATACGGCAGGTGTACCACCTCTCCTCCTCGTTATCCTGGAAGACTTAAGCGAAGAGGAAGTCGACACCTTACGAACGTATCTCTCTTTCTCTCTTTGGGATACGTTTTTCTCTTTGTTACACAAAGAAAAGAAAATTAGTATTGTTTATTCGTTCGCGAATATATCAGGTTTGGTTTATTTCTTTGGAAAACATCATTCTTGAAAAGAAAACAATATTTATTCGAATCCATATAGTCATTATTTGATTTTTTAATTAAAATTAAGGTGGCAATTTAAAATCGACACCGCGCGAATCCATCAGAATAAAAAATAAAAAGAAGTAGATTATAAAAAAATTGCAAGCTAAACGATCTCCCTATAACTAAATACAAGTTCTTTCGCTCTCTCTCTCTCTCTCTCTCTCTCTCTCTCTTTTTTCAACTAATCTCGATATTGGCTGTTTCTTATCTTCGTCTGGATCTGAATCCTATTGATGCTAAATCGCGTATATTTGCATACACGCATCTGAAGAAAATAAAATAAAAGAAGAGAAGAGATTTTTCGGTGCGTGGATATCGGAGCTACTCGTACGTATTCACATAAGGTGTATGGTATAGGGTGTTGAAGTTGGTGGTGGTAAAGGGGCTAGAGAGGGAAGGGTTTCAGAGGGCGACGTTATACACTCTTGAGCCGCGCCGCGCACCTACCTATGTGTCTCCTCTTTCCTTTTCTTCAGAGAGAGAGAGAGAGAGAGAGAGAGAGAGAGACAAAGAAAGAGATAGGTAGAAACCGAATGAAACGGAACACAGAAGCAAAGGGAGAGCCAGAGAGAGAAAGAGAGAGAGAGAGAGAGAGAGAGAGAGAGAGAGAGAGAGAACGAGAGAGAGAGGGAGCCGCGGCCTGAGCCTTTTCTCTCAGCAGCACGGGCGCAGCATGTTTATTGGCGCATCTCGCAGTCTTAAATCTTTATGTTGTCTCCGCGAAGAACGGCGGTCTTCCCCTACACCCCTTACACTCTCTCTCTGTGTCTCCCCCGATCGCACACGTTTTCTTTCGAGGAAGAGACACGGACGGTAAGCTGGAGTAGTTGGTGCGGTTCTATGGGATGGAAAAGGACGAACGGAGAGAGAAAGAGAGAGAATCGGCAAAAGGAGAAGAAAAAGAGGAAGGATTATGGGAGCGAACGAGATAGATGGATAATGGTAGATATCTGCGAGAGCGAGAGAGAGAGGAGAACTGGGAGACAGGGAGATATATCTCTCGGAGAGACCGTGGTCTCGCGAAATCGAGTCAAGAACTCGGACGACCAAGGCGCGTCCACCGCATTACGCACGCAGAAGCCGCGATTTTAACGTGCCTTTTATCTAGACATCCTTTCCTCCTAGCCCCTCATCCCTCTTTTACCCTCTCTCCGTTTCTCGCAACCGCCGATCGACCGAGGAAGTAACGTATATGTGCGAGAGCTGCTTCAACTTTTTTCTCTTTATTTTATTTGATTTATTTTTCATCTCTATAGAGGCAGACCTGATCGTATCGAAGATAATCTTATTTTACAATTAGTTTCATCCATTTTCTTCAGTTGTTTATTAGGAAAAATGCTATTTTTGGATGTTTCTTTTGTTGCAACGTTACTGTACTTCTCGATATGCGAGATATCGATATTTAAACGTATTTCATTTGAAACGATGCATTCGAGTATTTCCAATTTTATATCGGTTTTCTAAAGAGAAATATTTGAAATAAAAGTAGGTATGCCTCTCTAAGGGAAATGCGAAATGTAATATAGATCTTTTATATAAGAGATAAATGAGAAATGGCGAGTACACGAGCGCGCTGTTTAATTAACTAAATGTAGCATGGTCCGATAAACGGCACGTATCGGCAATAAACTTAACGTTCGGAGAGCTACGTTACTGATAACGTTCTTCTCTATCGTTCCTGTTTCCTTTAGCTTGGCTTTTATGCCAGTAGCAGAACGTTAGAACGTGGCTTTACGCCCACATTCTCGCCTCTACCGAGAAAGGACATACATATATCTCGTAATGTGATCACATACGAGGGCATACAACCGTGACCACGCGCCTTTCCGTGTGCGAGTCTAAGAGAAAGAGGATGACGTTGGAGAAGGATGCAACATGTTTCTAATATTCTATTGATTTTGTTCCCTTGTGCAAGAACAGGGAAAAGAAATTTCTATGTTTTTTTCGGAAATTTTATTTGGACGGCATCGAGCTAGGGGTTGAAAATCTTAGAAATTGGTGCTTCGAACGGGAAAAATGTTAATCGTTTGTCGACACATTTTAAATATATATATATATATATATATTTAGTCGAATTCATGTATGTACAAAAAGTATTTCTTATCGAGTTGCAAAAGGAAAAGATAAATAAGACGTGCGCGCGTAAAATGCCAAAGGGTTTATTTATCGGCACGCGGCTTAGCCGTAGGTTTGGCTCAGCCGTAGGTTTGGCCGCGTGCCGTAGGTTCCTTTAAGCTGAGAAGGAAAGGCGAATACTTTTCTGTGAGTATAGGACCGGCCGTCCGAGCAGTCGTCCGACCCACCGATGCTACGTTACATTCCAACAGATCGCTGGATCCTTCCAGAGATCCTTCTTTTAAAAGCCGTACAGAAAGAGAGAACGAAAGGAGACTTAAAGGCTCTTATTCACGCGCCGCGGGAGCTCGCATAAAACTGCTCCCTGAGTTT